CAGCACCATTTCCAGCTTTTTCTGTTTATGTGGTACTGAGGAATTGAACCTAGGCCTTCATGCATACTAGGCAAGCACTCTACCACTAAGCCACATTCCCAGCCGCCTCCCACCCCTCCCCCCCCCCGGCCCCCATCATATTTTATTTTTTTTATTTTTGGTGGTTGTGGGGCCTGAACTCTGAACCAAGGTACTGTCTTCAGCTCAAGGCTACAGCTCTACCACTTGATCCACAGTGCCACTTCCAGCTTTTTCTGCTTATGTGGTGCTGAGGAATTGAACCCAGGGCCTCATCTCATGCATGCAAGGCAAGTGCTCTACCACTGAGCCACCTTCCCAACACTCTACCACTGAGCCACTTTCCTAGCCCCAACAGTTGTATTATTTTTTGGGGGGGGAGGTGTTGTGGGTCTTGAACTCTAGCCTTTGGTGCTGTCCCTGTGCTCTTCATCTCAAGGCAAGCCCTCTACCGCTTAAGCCACAGCACCACTTACAGTTATCTAATGGTTTATTGTAGATAAGAGTTTCACAGACTTTCCTGCCCTGGCTGGCTTTGAACTGGGATCCTCAGATCTCAGCCTCCTGAGTAGCTAGGATTACAAGAGTGAGGCATTGGAGCCCAGCCTGTATCTTTTTAAAGGCCCTAGACGATAATGATTTCCCTTTATCTACATAGTAACCATTGTATTTTCCATTCTTGCATTTTTGGCTAGACTGATTTGAAGTCAAGGTGTGCTTGCTAAGTCTTACTCTGTAACTTAGACTGGCCTCAAGCTCTTGACCTCCCTACCACAGTTGCTCTAATTCTTGAAAGGTATTTATCTGGAACAGAACTTAATGATACTTTTTCACAGCCTTGTAAGTTTCATTGTTTTTCTTGGGAAGCTGTTCTGTTGATTCATTTTTTTTTCCTGCACTCCTGCATATGTTTAAGACTTTTTTTTGGGGGGGGAGAGCCTGAACTCTGGGCCTGGGCGCTGTCCCTCAGCTCTTCAGCTCAAGGCTAGCGCTCTACCACTTGAGCCACAGCGCCACTTCCGGCTTTTTTCTTTTTGCTTATGTGGTGCTGAGGAATCGAACCCAGGGCCTCATGCATGCAAGGCAAGCACTCTACCACTGAGCCACCTTCCCAGCCCCATAAAACTTTTCAAATTTCCTTTGGAATTCTATTATTAAGTGCCTAGCCATGGATTCATTTTTACACTTCTTGCTTGACATTCTTAGGTCTGTGTATTTATGTCCTTCAGTTTGGGAAGATCCCTCATCATTAATTACTCTGACTTCTGTTCAAGTTTCCTAATTCCTCTGTATCTTAATCTTGTTAAGCTCATTGTGTTCCAGGACTTTTTGAAGTTGATTTTTAGAAGTTCTACTTATGTTATTTTCTATACCTGCAAGGCCATACTTTCTTGTTTGCTATTCCCAAGCTTATCATTTATTCCTATAAATATAACAAGAAGCAGGGCTGGGAAGTTGGCTCAGTGGTAGAGCGTTTGCCTTGCATGCCTGAGGCCCTGAGTTCGATTCCTCAGTACCACATAAGCAAAAAGAGAAAAGCCGGAAGTGGCCCTGTTACTCAAGTGGTAGAGCGCTAGCCTTGAGCTAAAGAGCTGAGGGACAGTGCCCAGGCCCAGAGTTCAGGCCCCACGACCAGACCAAAATAAATAAATAAATAAATAAAACAAGAAGCAGAACTATTTCCTTCCCTGTGTACAGCGCCTTGAATAGGAAGTTTTTGTGAGTCCATTTCTGTGGCTTGTCTTTTCCCTTCCTTGATACTATTGTTTCCTGCAGGTTTGATGGTTTTGTGGTAGTGGTGGTAGTGGTGGTGGTGCTGCTGCTGCTGCTGCTCCTCCTCCTCCTAAGGCTCAAAACCTGGGCCCCCACATGCTAGGCAAGCACTCTTTCCCCCTGAGTTACACCTCTAGCCATATTTTTGTCCTTACTGTGGTGATTTCTCAGGTTGGGGATACAGATAATTCCTCCATACTAGATATGTACTTGGTTGGGCACTAGTGGTTCTCTTATAATCCTAGCAACTCAGAAGGGGCTGGGAAGGTGGCTCAGTGGTAGAGTGCTTGCTTCCCATGCATGAGGCCCTGGGTTCGATTCCTTAGCACCACATAAACAGAACAGGCCAGAAGTGGCTCTGTGGCTCAAGTGGTAGATTGCTAGCCTTGAGCTAAGAGCTCAGAGACAGTACAGTGCGTAAGCCTATAGAGTTCAAGTCCTCCGACCGACCAAAAAAAAAAAACTCAGAAGGATGATATCTAAGGATTATGGTTCGAAGCCAGCCCAGGCAGGAAAGTCCATGACAGTCATTTTCAGTTAAACAGCAAAAACCAGAAGATTAGTTAATACTAGATCCATCTCTCATATAAGTATCATAGTGTTTTGAGTCAAGTCCAGGATTTGGGATATATCCAGCACCAGTAGGCTCATGGGATCTTGCTGTCTACATCTTCTTTCATGCTATACCATGAAACCAAACATGCTATAGCATGTTTGTTTTTGTTTTTGTTTTTGGCCAGTTGTGGGGCCTGAACTCTGGCCCTGGGCTCTGTCCCTCAGCTCTTCAGCTCAAGGCTAGCACTCTACCACTTGAGCCACAGCACCACTTCCGACTTTTTCTGCTTATGTTGTACTGAGGAATCGAACCCAGGGCCTCATGCATGGGAAGCATGCTGGCTTTGAACCACAATCCTCAGATCTTAGCCTCCTGATTAGCTAGGATTACAGCCAGCATGACCCACTTCCCCAGCCTCTATAGCATGTTTTTGATCCAATCTTTTTTTTTGTTTTTTTGCTATCAATCCTGGGACTTAAACTATGGGCCTGGCACTGTCCTTGAGCTTTGTTGTTGTTGTTTGTTTTTAAAGCTCAAGATTTGTACTTTAGGGGCTGGGAAGGTGGCTCAGTGGTAGAGCACTTGCCTTGCATGCCTGAGGCCCTGGGTTCGATTCCTCAGCACCACATAAGCAAAAAGAAAAAAGAAAAAAGCCGGAAGTGGCGCTGTGGCTCAAGTGGTAGAGCGCTAGCCTTGAGCTGAAGAGCTAAGGGACAGTGCCCAGGCCCAGAGTTCAGGCCCCATACCGGACCCCCCAAAAAAAAAAAAAAAGATTTGTACTTTACCACTGAAGACACACCTCCACTTCCAGCTTTTTGGTGGTTAAACTGGAGATGAGTCTCACAGACTTTCCTCCCTGGGCTGGCTTTGAACCACAATCCTCAGATCTCAGCCTTCTGATTGCAAGTGTGAGTCAGACTTTCAATTTTTCTGATTTGTATGTAAAGTAGCCCACTTGCCTCTTCTTAATAAATGTGGAGTAATTAACAGTAACTCATGTCACTATTAGTATCTTGTACATTTAAAGAGCTAGATTTTAGACTGAGGATTTACCCCAGTGATAGAACATGTGCTTAACATGAATAGGGCCTTGTATTTGATCTGTAGCACTACATAAAACATTAAACATAAAAATAAAGCCAATGCCGATGGCTCACGCCTGTAATCCTAGCTAATCAGGAGGCTAAGATCTGAGGATTGTGGTTCAAAGCCAGCCTGGGCAGGAAAGTCCAATAAAACACTAGAAAACCGGGGGCTGGGAAGGTGGCTCAGTGGTAGAGCGCTTGCCTTGCATGCATGAGGCCCTGGGTTCGATTCCTCAGCACCACATAAGCAAAGAGAAAAAAGCCGGAAGTGGTGCTGTGGCTCAAGTGGTAGAGGGCTAGCCTTGAGCTGAAGAGCTGAGGGACAGCGCCCAGGCCCAGAGTTCAGGCCCCACGACCGGACCCAAAAAAAAAACAACACTAGAAAACCAGAAGTGGCGCTGTGGCTCAAGCAATAGAGCGATTGCCTTGAGCTGAAGAGCGCAGGGACAGCACCGAAGCCCAGAGTTCAAGCTCCACGACTGACCAAAACAAAAATAAAGACAAAATACCAGCCCAGGCAGAAAAGTCTATGAGACTCTTATCTCTAATTAACCACCAAAAAGTGGGAAGTGGAGCTGTGGCTCAAGTGGTAGCACATCAACTTTGATTTAAAAAGTTAGGAATAGCCAGGTGCTGGTAGCTGATGCTTATAATCCTAGCTACTTAGGAGGTTGAGATCTAAGGATCATGGCTCAAAGCCAGTCCAGGTAGGAAGGTCTGTAAGACTCTTATCCCCAGTAAATTAACAACAAAAAAAAAAACCAGGAGTGGAGTTATGGCTCATATGGTAGGGCCCTAGCCTTGAGCAAGAGAATCTCAAAGACAGTGCCTGAGCCATGAGTTCAAGCCCTACCTGCAAAATAAAAACAACAACAAAAAAAACCCCACAGGGACAGCATCTAGGCCCTGTGTTCAAGTGCTAGTATCAGTACAAAAGAAATAAAACAAAAGCAGAGATCTTAAGCGGGGTAGCTGGTGGCTCACACCTGTAATCCTAGCTACTAAGGAGGCTGAGAGCTGAGTGAGGGTCTCAGTTCAGAGCCAGCCTGGGCAGGAAATCTGTGAGACTCTTACCTCCAATTAACCACCAGAAAACCGGAAGTGGGTCAAAGTGGTAAGAGTGCTGGCCTTGAGGGAAAAGGTCAGGAACAGCGCCCAGGCTTTGAGTTCAAGCCCTAGAACGAGCATACATAAAAAAAAAAAACAACCTAAAATATCTTTAACCTCTAGTCTGGCCCCTCTCCCCATTCTTTTTTTTTTTTTTTTTTGGGGGGGGGGTCCGGTCGAGGGGCCTGAGCTCTGGGTCTGGGCGCTGTCCCTCAGCTCTTCAGCTCAAGGCTAGCACTCTACCACTTGAGCCACAGCGCCACTTCTGGCTTTTTTCTTTTTGCTTATGTGGTGCTGAGGAATCAAACCCAGGGCCTCATGCATGCAAGGCAAGCGCTCTACCACTGAGCCACCTTCCCAGCCCCCTCTCCCCATTCTTCAAGAGACATGAATCCTAAGCATTGTGCCTTACTGTGTTTGAGTCTGTCTATAACGCACAGCCTTGTCTTGATTTGTTACAGGTTGTAACCTTTTTCTCTTGTCCCAGCTGTGTGGAACAACGGCGGCTCTTGTGTGCATTTTCCAGTGTTTCTTTTGTCAGAGAATCCAGCAGAGCCGCAGCTCTGCCAGTGCCAGCCCCGAGCTGAGTGAAGAGTGCCCAGCAGAGATGGTGAAAATGACCAAATCCAAAACTTTCCAAGCTTATCTGCCCAACTGTCACCGAACTTACAGCTGCATCCACTGCAGAGCCCACCTGGCCAATCACGACGAGCTCATCTCCAAGGCAAGTAGTTAGGTCCCTCTGCTCACTCGCTTAGCAATTGGTTATTCTCGTGGGTTAGTCATCATGTGACTTTTAAGGTTTAGAGTCTTCAAGCCAGTATTGATGGAAGTTTTGTGTGATTAAATGTGACAGTGTTACAGTGGGCGGGTTGAGAGGAGGGCTAACACGATGAGTCAGTTCTTTGTCAGACCAGTGAAACGAATGTGAAATTGCAGAATTTAGAAGAATCAAATGAAATCTAGAGAATATGTAGAAATAGGTAAATAATGCTGGGCGCTGGTGGCTCACGCCTGTAATCCTAGCTACTCAGGAGGCTGAGATCTGAGGATCGAGGTTCAAAGCCAGCCCGGGCAGGAGAGACTGTGAGACTCCTATCTCCAATAAACCACCAGAAAACCGGAAGTGGCGCTGTAGCTCAAGTGGTAGAGCGCTAGCCTTGAGCTGAAGAGCTGAGGGACAGCGCCCAGGCCCAGAGTTCAAGCCCCAGGACCGACAAAAAAAAAAAAAAGAAATAGGTAAATAATAACAGAACCAAGACTTTTTTTTTTTTTTTTGCCAGTCCTGGGGCTTGAACTCAGGGTCTGGGCACTGTCCCTGAGCTTCTTTTGCTCAAGGCTAGCACTCTACCACTTGAGCCACAGTGCCACTTCCGGCTTTTTCTGTGTATGTGGTACTAAGGAATCGAACCCAGGGCTTCATGCATGCTAGGCAAGCACTCTACCATTAAGCTATATTCCCAGCCCAGAACTAAGATATTTATAAAGCTCAAAATGATTTAGAAGGAAAGATATAGCTCAGAAAAATGATTAAGGCTGGATGCATCTCAGAGATGGAGTGCTTACTTAATGCACACAAGGCCTTGGGTTCATCACCAGCACCAAAAAGAAACAAACAAAAAAAAAAGATGCATGAAATAATCAGTTTAATAAGAGGAAAGGTTTATTTTTAGTCCACTGTCAGTTGGCTCCAAGGCAAGATTGCACATCATGGTGGGAGCATGTGGAGGAGGAAGGTGCTCACCTCATGGAGGTTGGAGAACAAATAGAGGATGAGGTCAAAGTCCCAATATCCCCTTCAAGGGCTTGCCTCCAATGATCTAACTTCCTTCTACTAAGTCTCGCCTGGCACTCCAGCTGGCCGTGGAAAGGTTTATTGGGTCACAGGAGCGCTCATTGGTTTCTAGTCACCTAAACTAATTTTATATCATAATAGAATATTTGAGGCAAACATTCAACTGCCTGCAAAACCTAAACATTTATCTTCTAGCCTTAAGTGATAGAAGTTGGCCTCCCTGAACTCTAAAGGTTTGAATCTAACTCACACCGATCACAGATCTAAGCCCTGAGAAAAACTAAGGATTGCAGAATAGATGACAAAAGGGAGACATTCTGAAAAGCCTATAAGGCAATTATTACATAATAAGCTCAAAGAAAACATGCAAGAAGATACACCCTTTAAGTGTGAAAGCCTTATTTTAAAATCAAAACCACAGCTGGGTGCTAGTGGCTCACGCCTGTAATCCCAGATACGCAGGAGGCTGAGATCTGAGGATCGCAATTTGAAGTCAGCCCTGGCAGGAAAGTCCATGAGACTTTTTTTTTTTTTTTTGGTCAGTTGTGGGTCTTGAACTCTGGGCCTAGACACTGTCCCTTAGCTCTTCAACTCTACCACTTGAGCCACAGCACCACTTCCAGTTTGAGTGGTTTTTTAGAGATAGAAGTCTCACGGAGTTTTCCTGCCCAGGCTGGCTTTGACTGTGGTCCTCAGAGCTCAACCTCCTGGGTAGCTAGGATTACAGGCGTGAGCCACTGGCACCCAGCTTCCATAAAACTCTTATCTCCCAAACTACTCAGAAAAAGCCCAAAGTGGCACTGTGGCTCATATGGTAGCCTTGAGTGAAAGCTCAGAGACAGCACCCAGGCCTTGAGTTCAAGCCTCAGGACTAGCCATAAATAAATAAATAAATATTTTTAGCATATATAGCACTCCTGCTGGGCTGTAGTTCAGTGATAGAGCTCTTGCTTGGCATGTGGTTTGATCCTCAGCACTAGAATCAAAACAACCCAAATATTCCTTACAAGTGAAGTAGAAAAATTTCTTCCCAAATCTCAGTGGCTTCAAAGAAAGGTTTATTTTGTGCTCAGGTTAGATATCTATCTAGGTCAACTGAGGGCTGTGGTGTTTTATATATTTATTCATTCATTTGCTTTTTAAAAATTGTCCTCTGTGGTGGCCTATACTAGATACACTAACAAGCTGATGAGGCAGGAAGATCATTTGTTCCAGGCCTGCCTAGGCTACACTTGAGCTAAGCCCTAAGTTCAAAAATCATTAAAAATGGGCTGGGAATGTGGCTCAGTGGTAGAGTGCTTGCCTTGCATGCCTGAGGCCTTGCGTTCGATTCCTCAGCACCACATAAGCAAAAAGAAAAACTGGAAGTGGCACTGTGGTTCAAGTGGTAGAGCGCTAGCCTTGAGCTGAAGAGCTGAGGGACAGCGCCCAGACCCAGAGTTCAGGCCCCACGACCGGACCACCCCCCCCCCCCCAAAAAAAAAATCATTAAAAAGAAGAAAACAAATGGCCATCATAAATGTCTACAGAACTGGGGATAGTAGTATACATCTTTAATCTTTAGAGGTAGAAACAAGAGGATCATGAGTTCCAGGCCAGCCTGAGCTATCTAATAAGACTATCCAAAAAAATTATTATTTTTTTTAAAGCCTAGCATGCACAAGGCCCTAGATTCAATCCCCAGCACTGCGGCAGTGAGAATTATTTTTCTCCTTCTGACAGCAGCTACCTTCATTCCTTTTTACTCTAAATAAAGGACTCAAAAGTCACTCTTAACAGTTTATGAGTTTCCATACCATCCTCAACTTGCATGAATCGTGTGTGTGAGTGTCATGGTCCACTCGCTTATCATGGGCATCTGACCCTTTTAGTTTTTACTATGAGCATTAATAGTGACCATTCTTGTCACATTTTGATATTCTCAAATTGTGTCCTAGTCATCATTTTTCTCTCTTAAATTTGTACCAAGGTTATAGGCAAATACATACACACATACATGGATGAATGTGGATAGATATTGATAAATTTATTCGCATTATTTTTTTTTCTCCTTTTTTTTTTTTTTGTTGGTCATGGGGCTTGAACTCTGGGCCTGAGCACTGTCCCTCAGCTCTTCAGCTCAAGGCTAGCACTCTACCACTTGAACTACAGTGCTACTTCCGGTTTTCTGATGGTTTATTGGAGATAAGAATTTCATGGACTTTCCTGCTTGGGCTAGCTTTGAACCATGATCCTCAGATCTCAGCTTCCTGAGTAGCTAGGATTATAGGCATTATTTATTTTTGGCTGCATTATTTATTTTTGCTGATACTGGGGCTTGAACTCAGGGCTTCACATTGCTTTGGCTTTTTTCACTCCAGGCTAGTGATCTGTCACTTGAGCCACACCTCCACTTCTGGCTTTTTGCTGTTAATTACAGATAAGTGTCTTTCTAGTTTGTCTGATCATACTAACTTCAAACCTCGATCCTCCCATCTTAGCCTCCTGAGTAACTAGGATTATAGGTGTGAGCCACCATCACCCAGCTATTTTTTTTTCTATTTTGTTTGTTTGCTAGTCTTGGGGCTTGAACTCAGGGCCTGGGAGCTGTCCCTGAACTTTTGTGCTCAAGGCTGGTACTCTACCACTTGAGCCACAACTCCATTTCTGGCTCCTTTTTTTTGGGGGGGGGTTAATTGAAGATAAGAGTCTCACATACTTTCCTGTCCAGCCTAGCTTTGAAATATGATCTTCAGATCTCAGCCTTCCAGGTAGCTAGAATTATAGGCATGAGCCACCAGTGCTCAGCTTATTTATTTAGTTAACATGAAGTCTGACTATGTTGTCCAGACCAGTTTGAAACTCTTGGGCTTTAAGAATCCTCCTGCATGGGGGCTGGGAAGGTGGCTCAGTGGTAGAGCGTTTGCCTTGCATGCTCGAGGCCCTGGGTTCGATTCCTCAGCACCACATAAGCAAAAAGAAAAAAAGCCGGAAGTGGCGCTGTGGCTCAAGTGGTAGAGCACTAGCCTTGAGCTGAAGAGCTGAGGGATAGCGCCCAGGCCCAGAGTTCAGGCCCACGACCGGACCCAAAAAAAAAAAAAAAAAGAATCCTCCTGCGTTTAATAGTAGCTGAGACTACAGATGCACATCACGGAGCTCAGCTCTGCATCATTTGTATAATCCAGTCATTTGCAAATGCAACATTAGTTCTTTTAATAACCCTTCCTACTAGGGGTGGAGTTTGAAGGAGAGGATATGTAAGTTGTCCTGATGGGGCTAGTGGAGCGGCTGCACAGTCCAGTGGTCCTGTAGAGATAGTGCCTTTGGCAGGCATTCACCACCTGAGTCAGAGTGTCTCTCACCTTGCTCTTTATTCATTCTGGGATGCAGAACTCACCAGCCAGGGTGTCGTAGAAGTCTCCTAACACCTTCTTCTTCTTTGCAGTCCTTTCAGGGAAGCCAGGGACGAGCCTACCTCTTCAATTCCGTGTGAGTACCTGCATGTCTGAAGTCTGTCTGGCAGGTAGCCAGGGTCCCTGTGAGAAGGCATCCACCCTTCCTTCCCCATGTACCTGTTCAGTTAATCCCACTGGAATGTGAAGGTGGAATGCTGCCTGCAGTCTAGAATTACCCCGTTGATGCGTTGAGAAGACCTTTCAAAGAATTCAGTCTCCTGATGTTTGGGAGGTTCTGAAAGTGTGATGGTTTTATCTGAGAGTTTAATCCCTAGCACACAAACCTACCGCATGTTGAGGTGGTTCTAGACCAAGATGGTCCTAGACTGAGGCAAAGCTCAGCATTAAGAGCACTTGGAATTTGTTCCCCAGCACGGAAGACAAAAAAAAGTGGGGGGAGAGGGGTGTAGAAAGCTGAGAAAGTAGTGCTGATCTTTAGAATGTTCTGTTTCTGGTAAACTTTAAGAGACATTGCATGTCTCTGCAGGGTGAATGTGGGCTGTGGCCCTGCTGAGGAGAGGGTCCTTCTAACTGGCCTGCATGCAGTTGCAGACATCTATTGCGAAAACTGCAAGACCACACTTGGATGGAAATATGTGAGTATTACTTCTTCTTCCTTATTTTTTCTTCTAGTACTAGTGTCTGAATTCAAGGCTTTATACCTGCTGGGCAGGTGCTCTACACTTAAGCCATACCCACCCCCCCATTTAGCTTTTTTTTTTTTTGGTTGGTCATGGGTTCTGAATTCAGGACCTGGGCACTGTCCCCCAGCTCTTCAGTTCAAGGCTAGCGCTCTACCACAGAGCCACTTCTGGCTTTTTCTGTTTATGTGGTGCTGAGGAATCAAATTCAGGGCCTCATGCGTGCAAGGCAAGCACTTTACCACTGTGGCTCCAGTGGTAAAGTGCTAACCTTGAACTGAAGAGCTGAGGGACAGTGCCCAGGCCCTGAGTTCAAGCACCAGGGCTGGCAGGAAGGAAGGAAGGAAGGAAAGGCAGGCAGACAGGCAGACCTGACCTCCCCTCTCCCTGTTTCCAGCATTCTGAGGTCCCTGCACGCCTCACCGCAGAGGCCAGTGTCACTGTCTTTCTTCCCCCTGGGCCACATCAGCTTAGAGAGTCTGTGAATACCTATTCTAACTGCTTCCAGCCCTCTCCCTCTGCCCAGCTTCTTTCCCAGCAGAAGCCAACCAGCCATCTTATAGATGCCCCACCTAGTATGGCACTGAGAGGCCTGCCCTGCACATTCTCTGGGGCTATGAATTTTACGTCCGGGTTGTTTGCGCTTTCTTTCTTCAAGTCCCCCGATTCCCCATGAGCTGTTAGGGGCCACAGAGATAACACTCCATGAGGCTTGCACATCCTCATTGCTTCCACCTGGTAAATGCCCTCCATAGTCTCTGCCTCCCTTCCTGGCCACTGTGCCCTGTACAGCTCTCCATTGCTACAACCATTGGGATCACTTCTCTGTCCATCAGACAGACTTACCCCATTGTCTATGTCTATTGTGTTCTGACTTGAGCACCTTTGACCTGTTTATATCACTCTGTATTAACATTACTCTCCATACTCCTAAATTGCTCTGCTCATATAGTACATGCTCAGGAAATAGATTTTACTTTTTACTTATGTATTGATTTTTATGATGCTGGGAATCAAATCCAGTTTCTTAGGCATGCACTCTTCCAATGAGCCAGATCCCAAGCTTCGTAAATAGGTTAAGAGCAGGAGTACAGGGGCTGGGAAGGTGGCTCAGTGGTAGAGCGCTTGCCTTGCATGCATGAGGCCTTGGGTTCAATTCCTCAGCACCACATAAGCAAAAAGAAAAAAGTTGGAAGTGGCGCTGTGTCTCAAGTGGTAGAGCGCTAGCCTTGAGCTGAAGAGCTGAGGGACAGTGCCTAGGCCCAGAGTTCAGGCCCCATGACTGGCAAAAAAAAAAAAAAAGAGAGAGTAAGAGTACACTGGGTATCAGTGGCTCACACTTGTAATCCTAACTACTCAGGAGGCTAAGATCTGAGGATCGTGGTTTGAAGCCAGCCCAGGCAGCAAAGTTCATGAGACTCTTATCTCCAATAAATTACTCAGAAAAAGTTGGAAGTAGCACTATGGCTCAAATGGTAGAGCACTAACCTTCAACAATAGGAGCTCAGGGCCAGTACCCTGAATTCAAGCTCCAGGACTAGCAAAAAAAAAAAGCAAGAATACAAGGTCATCTGTGCTGCCCCAAAGGACTTTGAGTCAGCACACTAAGCATTCAGAGATAATGTAATAAATGTAAGGAAGTTGAAAAATGAAACTATTTTGTCCTGAATGCCTCTCTCTACTTTTGTTTTTCCTCCCAAGGAACATGCCTTTGAGAGCAGTCAGAAATATAAGGAAGGAAAATTTATTATTGAGCTGGCCCACATGATCAAAGACAATGGTTGGGAGTAAAGTGGAAACTTGCCATTCCCTCTTGAATACTATTTTGTGAAAGAGATTGTGAATGTAATGGAGACACCGCATCCTGGATGGCAGTGTTTCTTGAACTTGAACTTCGCAGGCTAGCCACGCTTCGACACTCAAAGGCCTCTGGGCCACCTCCTTGGGTAAAGAGCCCCATCTATGTCCTCTTCGCATATATGGTTGTTTCTGAAAGTTTGAAATGTTCTTTTTCTAACTTTTGAAGTTCTAGAAAAAGAATTCACCAACTGATGATCTACCTGTACCGTCTTTCTACCCTATGCCTTCAATACAGTTTCAGCTCTGCTTTCTCATGTTCCTAAAGACCACAGAAGCAGGCTTTCAAGAGCAGAAGCTTGAATGATAAGTGTAGCTTGTTTTCCCCTTCAATTCTTAAACACATAAATTGGTTATTTTTTTTTTTCCTGTAGCTAAACTACTAAAGGTGTAGTGTCCATTCAATAACCCTCCAGCACAGCAGGGTGCCACACTGTGATCCCACCACTCTGATCATTTTTAATCCTAAAAGTCTTCCAGAATTATAAACACATTTATATACCAAGAGTGGTTTTGTTCTATCCAGTTCAAAAACAGAGACCACCACTCATAACATTTTACATAAGCTTCGAGAAGAATGTGTCTAATGAGCATCTTATTTCAGTCAGTGGATTCCTTATCTAGAAAGCAGACGAGCCAGTGCAGGTTTTCCCAAGGGGCCTACAGGCCTATCCCTGATGTACCAGCTTGTACACTTTTTGCGGGGTGGGTATCCTCCTCAGCTGTGACTTGTGCAGCAGTTTTGTACAGCAGCTGATGCGTGGCCAGGCCTTGTGGAGTAGCTCATCAGTCAAAGTCGGGTTTCATTTTTCTACCCTGGATGTACTTGAAAAAAATGTTTGCATATGAAATAGGCCAGAATCAGCAGGAAAGAAAAAACTTTCAAAACTTTTACCAGATTGTTTGAAAATGTTTAGAAAAAGCTAGTCAAGAGACAGGCCTACGTTTAGTAAACGAAGGATTTGTTGTGCAGTGCGGTGCCCTGCCTGCCTGGCACCATCATGTGGACTGACTTGGAGGACCCAAATTCTGTTTCTGTCACAGATTTTATATCATGACCACCAGCAGAAATGGGAGTTCAGAATAAGGCTCAAGATAAGTTTTGGTTTTCAATGGACTGTCCCTAACTTAGGGTAGGACAGGAAGAAGAACGACCCAGGAAGGGGAGAAGCAGGAAGCTGAGGAGCTCAGAGCCTGAAAACCCTTGAAACTACCTGTGGACAGGAAGAAATAGGCTTCTAGTTGTTTGAGCTCCCCAACTTTTCCCCAAATCCAGACTCTGGAACCAACACAGGCACTGGGCTTGTGTTGCTTTCTCTAGTGCTAATTCCCTACAGAAGCTGAACTAAGTTAGCACAGTTGTGTCCCCTGCAGTGTCCCAGAGCTGGCCACAGCTACCCAGTGCTCCTGCTGCTGGGGTCTGGTGTCTGAAGATAGTTCACTCACTACTAGCACTTGATGCAGTAAAGCGGATGGCTTCCATCCCCCATCTGAAACTCAGAGAGACACTTTCTTAGAACAAGCTTCCCTTCTAGTTGCCACATCTCTTGCAAAAAACAGCCTCCGAGGACCAAGGGAAACTTGAGTGTTCCAGCCTGCTGGGTGCCGAGGGCAGTCTGAACATGACTCCACAGATGTTCCATTTAAATTGGAAGATAATTTTTTTAGAATTCTTCAGACACATTTTTGTATATACGAAGGTTCTATTTAAAGCTTTTCTATGTTCTGGGCAAGCTTACTGCCCCTTCAACTTGAGCACTTTGGTTTTTGTATTGTCTTGTGATGGCACTGCTTGGAAAAATTTTACTAGTACTTTTATGACTTGTATTTTTCTTGGTAATGAATTCCAACAAAACTTATATCAAATGTTGCTGTCGTCTGCAAAATACAAGCTCCTTTTTAAACCAAATGAACTGACCGTGAGCTGGCTTCAGGGGAAGTGATCTAAGACCATAACCAGATGTGCTGGTAAAGTGCTGGAATGTTCTACCCTCTTAAAGTTCCTAAACAATAAATGTCATGCCGGGACTTTTATTTATTTAAAAATTTTCCTTGAGAACAGTGGCAGGCAATGCCAGTATCATAAATTTGTAGTACCTTTGGCAATTTTGCTTTAGAAAGGTGTTTTAGTTTTATTGCCATTTTGTTTGTATATATAGTATTTTTATACCTCATACTTATTCTTGATGGCATCTGTCATATACTTGAAAAGATGAGAAATGAGATTGTTTTTGTTTCCCCAAAAGGTCTTTTATTTTACCTGATGACTTCATCAGGCAGTTACAAAATGCAAGTGGTTTGAATACTTACAAAGTTACAATTTAAGCTCTAAAAAGAACTACAGAAATGTAAACCCTCATTGGCCTAAGACCCCTTGTGTGCCCTGTCCTTGCTCTGGAGGGTAAGCACAGTGGAGGATGTGGCCTTCCCCTGGGGCAGGTGCAGGCTGCTGGCTAAGGCTAGAAGGGCAGGGGGCAGATGGGCAGCAGCCTGCAGGCAGCTGGAAGTTGACCATGAGGAGCAGAACCACCAGGCTTCAAGCACATGCATCACCTTCAGCCTCCTACATCCCCTGGCCACCCTTTTGGTCCTATTGTCTATGTGAGGCTTAAAAATAAAGCTTCTGATGTCCAAATAAAGCTTCTGACTCTTGGCTTTCTATAGTGATCATTGTTCAGGAGCCTCGTTTCCAGAGTGCCCAGTGAGAGCATAGGGCTCACAGAGTCTCAAAGCAACTATGAGGGACCCAGGGCTGCTGGGGTCCTGCTTCTCCGTCAATACCTGGCTGGGAACTTTTAAGTGTGGCCAGGAAAAAAAAAAAAGTGCAGGAATACAATTAGGACAATTGCTGCCTCTGTCCTGAAGAGCCAGTCCCTGGGTCCTCACCGATGAACGAACAACACTAACCCAGGAGGGCCCCACCTCTGCGCACCTAGTGTTGCATCAGAGGCCAACAGGTGCATGGTCACTAGGTAGTGAGCATCCTGCTGAGGCCTCTCTGCTGTGTGAGGTGTCAGGTGGCCTGGAGTCAGAGCAGGTAGAAAACTGGGAAGGTGGGCTAGGAGGTCACTGTGGAGCCAGGTGGCTGCAGGCAAGGGGTAAAGACCTGTTCTCAGCCAGTGACAAGCATGACAGGACAAATGTGCTCAAGCTCACCCACCAGCCATGTGGAAGTGAGCAAGGGCAGAGTGGGCGGAGGTCAGTGGGGGAGGCATTCCCTACCTACCACCCAAAAGACAAAGGACTTTGCTTCAAAGATGAAAAAAGCATAGGCCAAAGTACGTTCTAGAATTAAGAGCTTTTAAGTCTTTGAAAATTCAAGAACTTGAAGAAAGAGAAAACCAAGAATCAAGCTTAAGTTAGAATTTGATGGACTGGAAAGAAGTGGTAATGCAAAGTCAACAGGGAGCCCAGGCAATGACAGAACACTGCTATGACATTGTCTCCACACTTCTGAAGAAGCTCTTGGAGGATGATGAAATAGCAGGTCCTGAGATCGGGGGACTGAGGCTGAACAACAAGCAGTAAGAAGCAGGTGAGGGATTTGGACGTATTTCACAGGGGCAAGAGAAGAAGCTGGCACTGTGGTGTGCAAGCAAGAGAAGACGGTGATAGGCTGGGCTCGGAGCATCGGGAGGCCCCTTCCTCAGCTGGAAGACTCCCTGCTGTCCTCACACATTAGCCTCATGCAGTCATGGCTGACAGCAGAGCAGGTGAGCAGCTAGCAGGGTGGGTAAGCCCAACCTCAAGCAATAGACAGTAGCTAGAAATGGTTTGTAAAATCCACCAGCTTATAAACTCAACTGGGGAGTTAAGCTCTGCATAAGGGTTAGCTCTAGAGCCTGATGTTTTGTTGAGACATGGTCTTGCCATATAGTTCAGTTCTCCATCTCTGCTTTCAACCTGTCAAGTGTTTGGATTACAAACATGTACCTCAACCCCCAGGTGGTGAGAATTTATATTTCTAACAAGGTGGTAGCACTGGTCAGGTGACCATGCACATGGGTCATCCTTAGGATGACAGAGAGGACAGGAAAACCTGGTAGGGATTCGACTTGTCAATAATCCTGGCCTGCCTGCAGATAGCAGCACTCCAGGCAAGGTGGAAAGTCAGACCCAAAAGGCTCAGTTCAAACCTTAGAAAGGAGCCAGATTCCTCCCAGGTGAGGGATGGGAAGACCAGGGCCTCCCAGGGGCCAGGAATGGGGCAACAGGCAATGGTTTTATTGAATCTGAGCCTGTTAGGCAGCTTACAAGGGCAGAGAACACAGTGGTGTGGACATAACCTGCCATCCCTGCATCCCTACCCAGATCCAGGGTGGCAGCCCACTGCTACCAGGAGCTAAAGTCTCCAAAACCCCGGCTGGGCCTTTTCTTGGTCACAGAGGCTGAGCTGGTTGATGGCTCTTCTTCTGCTGCTCGTTTCCTGAAAAGAGAGACTCCAGCTGCTAGATATGCTAGATCTTGAGTTGAGCCAAGCCCCGTGACTCCCTCATAGTGATTTTCCCAAGGTCCCAGCCTCAGCCTACACATAGGCTCATCTAGACCTGCATAGCTGGGCCTCCTGGCTGTGGAAGCTTCCAGACTACAAGCTTGGTCTCAGTTTTCTAATTACCACTTGATTTGCTCTTCTTGAGAATACTGGACAATGATTCCATCTGTCTCAAGGTATATGGATGGTGGCACTTACGTGGCTGCTGGGTTGATGTACTTGCCCACCCCCTGACGGTAAGTCTGGGGGCCTTGGCTACCAGACTGGGGCTGGCCTGTCTTGACCTTGGTCTCTGGGGCCTCTTCAAGCTGTGTCTTCTTCCGCTCCTGGGCAATCTGGAGAGGAAGAGGATTGTGGCTGACCCAGAGCACCTCAGGTGCAGGGCTGCCCTGCCCCGGCTAGGAAGGATACACGCTCAGAGATGTGTCCCACGTGGCCACACCATGCCCTCACCTGGGCATCTGCCTCCTCATATGGGTCCACGAACACCGTGGTGGTATGGATGCGGATCTCCTCCTGGTGGCAGATGAGAGCAGCGAGTAGGTACAGACTCTTCCCAGCCAGTATATCGGGGTGTTCCTTCTGTTCTCCCTGGGCACTTACCTTAGGGCGGTCAGTTTTGGGGTCACTTTCTATATTCTCCATGACTGTCAGCGTATCAAAGCCCCCAACAACCCTAAAGCAGAGAGTCAGAGATGGGGCTGCAGGTACCCAACATAGGACACCCCTATGCACACCAGGATGGGGACTGGCCCTCAGTGCAGGGCCCCACAAAGGGCCAGTGCTCAGAAGATCCTGACAGTCCTTGGACAATAAGTGGGGCTGCCAGCCAGAAGAGGTGGATTAGCAGCCCACAGCCCACACAAGATCCAGTTCTCACCAGGCCAGGGAAAAAAGTGCTACTTGGAGAAAACTATACCACTTGCTTCCTTGTTTAGTTGTTGCAGACTGTACAGCCCACCAAACTAGAATACGATCTAGGTCTTTAGGGGAAAACCTGCCAAGCCAGACTAGAGGATATGAAAAGCACCAGTCAAAAGATGCCCAACATGGGAGGGCAGAGGGTCTGAGCCAGGGCAGTTGGCCAGGTGGGGTGGGACTCATCTCCTTCCACAGCCTGACAGGTGTGGAGAACTAAGGTTCCCCACTCTGTATATCATAGTCCCTAGCAGGGTCGTAACGTCGGCTTAGTGAGCACAAGGGTATGTCTGGGGAAAAGACAGCCCACAGAGCAGCTGCTCTTACCGTCCAAAGATGGTATGCTTCTTATCCAGGTAAGCACAGGAGCGGAATGTGATAAAGCTGGAGAAGGACAAGAGGGTCAGGAGAGTTATAAAGCTCAGCCCATCCCCCTCCCCCCCTTTTTTTTGTCAGTTGTGGGGCTTGAACTCTGGGCCTGTCCCTCAGTTCTTCAGCTCAAGGCAAGCACTCTACCACTTGAGCCACAGTGCCACTTCCAGTTTTCTGAGTGGTTTATTGGAGATAAGTGTCTCACAACTTTCCTGCCCGGGCTGGCTTTAAACCAGATCCTCAGATCTCAGCCTCCTGAGTAGCTAGGATTACAGGCAGAGCCACAGGCACCTGGCAGCCCGCCCCTTCTTGCCAGCTGCTGGGTCCACGTAGGAGACCGTCCACTCTCCAGGACCCACTCTGCAGACTGTACATCCCACATTGCCACCCACCCACTGCAGGACCCCCTGGGGCAGGACCTCCAGCTCCCAGACTAAGCTCAAAACATGGCCCCTCTGTCAGATGCCAACCTGCAGTTGGGTAGGCCCTATCCCACAGCATGGTAGGAGAGGCTGACAGTTGAGCTTGGCCATACAGTTGCTCTGGGGAAGTGGCTGGGATTTGGGAAGGGGTACTAAGCCAAGTATAACTCCCTTATGAGCACTTAGACTCTCTTACACTGAACCAGGCTATCAGGGTAAGTTAAAACAATCCAGTTGGGTACCCGTGGGCTCATGCCTGTAATTCTAGCTACTCAGGAGAATAAGATCTAAGGATCACAGTTCAAAGTCAGCCTAAGCAGGAAAGTCCATGAGACTCTTATCTTCAATAAACCACTCACAAAACCAGAAGTGATGCTGTAGCTCAAGTAGTAGAGCGCTCACCTTGAATGGAAGCACTCAGGGACAGCACCCAGGCCCAGAGTTCAAGCCCCACCGACCAAAAAAAACCAAAACACCCAGATTTGTGTTATTAAGGAGACTTCCAACAAGCTGAAGACATCAGACAGAGAAGGACCAAAATGCTGTTGCACACCTGTAATTCAGCATACAGGAGGCTGGAGCAAAAGGATCAGGAGTTCCAGGACAACCTGGGCTACATAGTAAAATCCTGTCTCAAAAAAAAAAAACCTCAGGGGCTGGGATGTTGGCTCAGTGGTAGAGTGCTTGCCTTGCATGCACGAAGCCCTGGGTTTGATTCCTCAGTACCACATAAGCAGAAAAAAGCCGGAAGTGGCGCTGTGGCTCCAGTGGTAAAGCCCTAACCTTGAGCTGAAGAGCTGAGGGACAGCACTAGGCCCAGAGTTCAGCCCCACGACCAACAACAACAACATAAAAAAAAAAAAAAAAAAAACGGGTTGGGAATGTGGCTTAGTGGTAGAGTGCTTGCCTAGCATGCATGAAGACTTGGGTTCGATTCCTCAGCACCACATAAACAGAAAAAGCTTTAAGTGGCACTGTGACTCAAGTGGCAGAGTGCTCGCTTTAAGCAAAAAAAGCTCAGGGACAGTGCCCAGGCCCGGAGTTCAAGCCCCAGGACTAGCACCACATAATAAAATTCTTATTTTTTTTTGAGTCCGGTCGTGGGGCCTGAACCCTGGGCCTGGGTGCTGTCCCTCAGCTCTTCAGCTCAAGGCTAGTGCTCTACCACTTGAGCCACAGCACCACTTCTGGCTTTTTTCTTTTTGCTTATGTGGTGCTGAAGAATCGAACCCAAGGCCTCATGCATGCAAGGCAAGTGCTCTACCACTGAGCCACCTTCCCAGCCCATAATAAAATTCTTAAGAAAAAAAAAAAAGACATTTTTGGATGGTGGACATATGTAGTAATGCATGCCGATTTCACAATATCCAGCCCACATGGTCAGGCATCTACAGAGTCCCTCTATCCCCAAGCCTCTGTCTCCCAGCACATTCAATTGGCTGCCTGTCCTCTACACATTTTCCTCACAACACACCCATCCAATGTCCTAGCTACTCACAAACAGCTCTGGTTCTGTCAGTGCTGCCCCTCCAGTGAGGGCCAGTTCTCACAAGGCACTTGCTCTGCCCCCAATTTACTTGGCATGGGCTCCCTTTTCGGAGCATGCTTGGCCTAGGTATGGTGCATACTGGCTTTCATTCAGACTTAGCATAACCAGACAAAACCCAGCAGATCAGAAGAACCTTCCTTAACCCACCCTATAAGCCAGCTATGACACTAGGGGACAGACTCACAACTGAGACTTGTTGGTGTTGGGCCCGGAGTTGGCCATACTGAGGATGCCACGGCCTGTGTGAGAGAGGTTGGGCCGGAACTCATCTTTGAAGGGCTTGCCCCAGTACGATTGCCCCCCTGGAACAGAAGAAGTACAATCAGCTGGCAGCCATAGAAACCTCAGCCTAGAAGACATCAGGCATTCACTGATGTCTCCTTGAAGAGACATCACTTTGAAGAGAATCCTGGCTCTGAGGTACCCCACAGCCAATCTTCCTGAAGGCTAGCTGCTGTCCATGCATCCTGCCTTCATGAGACTGAGGACTGAGGGTCAAAGCTGTAAGGCCATGCACAGGGCAAGGTGGGGGCTAGGCCTATGCAACTAGCAGAGTAGGGAAGTTTGAGAGGAAGCAGGAGAGAGGTCAGACAAGGATCTCAGGCCTTCAGGTCTCCCTTTAAGTCCTGATGGGTTCTGTTGGCACCAGGCAGCATTCTCTCTACCTACCATGGAGACCTTACAGCCACCTCAAGATGGAGAATCCAAGAGGCATGCCATGGGTGGCACAGAGCCAAGGCTGAGTTGCAATTCTACTCTTGGTGTCAGATTCCACATCCCTGCCCATCTGGCCCTCAGGCCCACATAGCAGCCAAAGCTGTCAGGGACAGGCGTGGCATTGGTACTTACCTGTGCCAGTGCCTGTGGGGTCACCACCCTGGATCTGTAAGAACAAAAGTAGTAAGCAAAGCAGCCTGAGGGGCTCTGCTACAGCCTGAGCCCTACTGTCCACTGCTGGCCCTGACTGAATACATTCCCCACCTGCTCCATGAACTCCCCAGAGTGCCTGAGCCTCAGTAAGGACAAGGGCCTTCTAGACCACCTCTGTCAGAACCCAGGTCTGCCTGGACTAGGCACTGGAGGTCCAGCCCACAGATTTCCTGACAGGCCCTTCCATGCCCTGGCACCACAGCCTGGCCCAGGTCCCTGGACCTGGGTTCCCAAATGCCCCCCATGTTTACAAACCCATCTGTGGATAATGCTGCCTTTTGTCCTCACCACAAAGTTCCTGATGGACCTGTGAAAGATGGTGCCATGGTAATAGTGCTTCCTGCAGAGCTTGATGAAGTTTTCACAGGTTTTTGGTGTCTGTAAAACAGCCCAATACTTCTGTGAGGCACAAGCAGGCACCAGCAAAGTCACAAAAGCCATGCAAGTCTTCACCATGCAGCAGACAAGGGCAGCTTTATGAGCTACAGAGCCCTAACAGGGTAAGGGAGTGCCCAGAGCAACAACAGGATCCCTGTAGCCACTGTGGATCAGAGCAGGAACTGGGATGCATTCATTCCTGCACATACACCCACCAAGCAGCCAAGGAATGCACAAGGCCAACAGTCCCAAGGAAGGAAGCCAGGGCACCTCAGTATCCTCTTGGGCAGACAGGATTTTCTATAAGCACATGTAACTACAGCTCCATATTTAAGACATGGTTATCGGTTGACCCTGAAATGACTTTGCACTGGGTGGAGAGGATACCCACAATACCTACCAGGTCACAGTGCAGCTCCAAGTTGAGATCTCCCTTATTGGTATGCAGTCGTACATAGCCCTTCTTCTTCACAAACTGGTAACGCAGCACATCTTCATCGATGGCAGCTACAAACAGAGGCCTGAGTTCTGCACCTGCCCTGGACCTAGGGCAGCCCCATTACCCAGGCCCCACGTCATCATGTCCTATGCAGGCCCAGCTCCACAGCTCTTCCAGCAGCACAGGAACAGAGGGCATGAGTTTGGCCTAGCTATGTCTAGGCTTGTCTGTACACTATGGAGTTGGGGACCACATAGGGCAAATAGGGCCCAGCAACTAACAAGAGGGTTCTTGCCAAGTGCTGGTAACTTATACCTGTAATCCTAGCCACTCAAAAGGCTGAGATCTAAGGACTGAAGTTCAAAGACAGACCAGGCAAGAAACCTCATGAGACTCTTATCTCCAATTAAGTACAGAAAAGCCATAAGTTGAGCTGAGGCTCAAGTGGTAGAGTACTAGCCTTGAGCACAAAAGCTCAAACACAATGACCAGGCCCAAAGTTCCAGCCCCAGGACAGGCACAAAAAGGGGAAGAGAGGAAATGCATGGATTGAGGAGTGGCAATAGGACAGGAAGGAGCCAGAACTTGGGTGACAGTGTGAGCCACTAGCAAGATGAGAACCCAGAAGGTCTATGTCAAGGTCAGCCTAGGTACTAGAGGCCCAGGGGCCTGAAAGAACAGGGATCCAGGGGCAGGGGGCAGGTCACATGTGAGGACAGCATCTCCTGGTCAAACTTGTGCTTTTCCAGTCTCATACCTGTCCACCTGACACAAAACTTACCTTGCAAGAAAACTGCCAACCTGACTCCTTAGCCCCGTGGATCTTGAGGGGTAGGCACGACAATGGTGGGGAAGTCCTGCTTGGTGACAATTAAACCCACACACTTGGGGACGAAAGAGTAAAAGGTGGGTACCTGCTTCATGAGTTGTCTCCGGCACCATGGCAGTGGAGGTAAAGGAGGCGCTGACCTTCCCTGTGGAATAGTGGGCCTGCCAGAAGAACCACACTGCTCAGGCCCAGCCAAGTACCTCCTCCAGGACAGCTTCCCTCATCTTACCCGTAGGTCCAGGGGACAGCCTCATTTAGATGTGGGAGCCAGCAAGGATCAGAGGACAAGGGGTACAGTAATGACACTAGAGTGAGAGGCTAAAGCCAGGCAGAGGTATGAATGTCAGTTTGGGTGGCAACTAGGACCCCATTGCTCTAACTGATGACACTAAATCAAACCCTATGACTAAAATACAAGAACTAACCAGACTTCTCCAGAAATAGGAGTACAAGGTGCATGCAAGTTTCTAAAGATTTCATGTTTCTCTATAGTAAGAATATTATCTATCTAACTAGGAAATAAAGAAGTGAGCCTGGGGCTCACACCTATAACCTAGCTTCTCAGGAGTCTGAGATCTGAGGATCATGGTCCCAAGCAAGCCCTGGCAGGAAAATCCATGAGATTCTTATCTCCGAAAAACTGTTCAGAAAAAGCTGGAATAGTGTTGTGGCTCAAGTGGTAGAGTGCTAGTCTTGAGCACAAAGAGGCTCGGGGACAGTGCCTAGGCCCTGAGTTCAAGCCCCAGACCAGTTTTTTTTTTTTTTTTAAAGTTCCAATAAATGTGATTATCCTAGATAGTCAAGGAAAGAGGAGCTCCCCAGGGGAAAGGAATACACTGACATGCTACAAGTAGTTGAGTTCAAGTGGGGGACTTAGAAACTTTTTCTTTGTTTTCCAAATTTCCTTAGATAATTCCTTTGGGCAGAGGCTTAGGGTTGCCCTCAGCCTGACTTTCTCTGGAAATGGGTAATGGGCTGGGCACAGGTCCCAATACCTCAGTGGCTGGTGAGCCTTCAGGAGACACAGAGTACCTCAGTAGTCCCTAGAGCCTCTTGCTTTGCCCTGGGCACATTTGAGACTCAGTGGGTCCTGCTTTCCCTGCCACCACAGACCTGCAAATTCTGGGCTGCTGTTCCAGGGTTTAAAAAAAAAAAAAAAGGCCTAAGAGCTGGGAATATGGCTTAGTGGTAGAGTGCTTGCCTAGCATGCATGAAGCCTCAGTACCACATAAACAGAAAAGGCCAGAAGTGACACTGTGGCTCAAGTGACAGAGTGCTAGCCTTGGGCAAAAGAAGCCCAGGAACAGTGCCCAGGCCCTGAGTTCAAGATCCAGGACTGGCAAAAAAAAACAAAAAACAAAAAAACGGCCTACCTGGGCATTGGTGGCTCACACCTGTAATGCTAGCTACTTATAAAGCTGCAATCTGAGGATCACAGTTTGAAGCCAGCCTGGGTAAGAAAGTCTGTGAGACTATTATCTTCAATTAAACACCCCAAAGCTGGAAGTGGCACTGTGGCTTAAAGTAGTAGAGTGCTAACCTTGAGCAGAAAAGCTTATATGTCACTATCCAGTGCCCTGGCCCTGAGTTCAAGCCCCAATACTGACCAAATAAAAGGGGGGCGTTCACCCCCAATGCCAGTAGGTAGCTGGCCTTTCTAGCCTAAACCAGGGACCACGGGGCAAGGTTGCCCTTTCTCAGGGTAGAATAGCTTCCCTAGATAGCCCCTAGCTCACTCATTTCATACCTAGTGTGAAGATCTGGGTGACCACTCCCACCTGCTTGGAGCCCCAACATCTCAGCAGCCCTGGGGATCTAAGTACCCAGGGCTTCCCAAATCTGTCATCCCACTGGGTTAGAGAGGCAACATGACAGTCGTCCACTCACAGCATTCAGCTGGTCTACTTTTTTCTTCTCTGGGGCCTTCATGGTGGCTGCTAGGATCTCATCTCCTTTGAATTCCTTGTAGAGCTCCTGCAGGGTCTCTCGGGTCTCAGTATTTGTGTTTTTCAAATAGTAAGATGGGTCCTGTTTGGCCTTTTCCTCATCTATAAAACAGAGTAGAGAGAGGTCTTGAGCAATTGGATCCCAGTAGTGTCTACAGATGGGTACAATGGGAACCAAGATCTAGAGCAGATGGTCACAGGAACAGAACCACTGACAAGTTAAGCCAGGGCTGTCAGCCACGGTGCAGGCCCTGGGTCACATCACAGTAGCTCTGGTGAGAATGGTACACAAAACACAGTGCCATAATGCCAGTCTCAGACCCAAAGGGATCTTCTTTACACAACCAACAAGAGGCTTAAACAGGAGGGAAGGCTTATTATCATTAACTTCTATTTCTTTTCATTTATCTGTATATTACAATCATCTTACAAGTATGCATTTTACTTTTATAACTTTAATGGTTATCTTTACTAGGTACTTATCATTCTAGCTATGTGAAAGGCTAAGATTAGGAAGATCATGGTTCTAGGCCAGCTCAGGAAGAAAAATCTATGAGGCTTCTCAATGGAAGAAACTGGACATAGTGGTATGTATCTATTATCACAGCTATAGCAGGAAGCCAAAAATAGTAAGATTGTGGTCCAGGTGTTCTCCTGGACAGTGAGACCCTATTTCAAAAATAACTAGCACAGCGCCGGGCGCTGGTGGCTCAAGCCTGTAATCCTAGCTACTCAGGAGGCTGAGATCTGAGAATCGCGGTTCAAAGCCAGCCCGGGCAGGAGAGACCGTGAGACTCCTATCTCCAATAAACCACCAGAAAACCGGAAGTGGCGCTGTAGCTCAAGTGGTAGAGCACTCGCCTTGAGCTGAAGAGCTGAGGGACAGCGCCCAGGCCCAGAGTTCAAGCCCCACAACCGACAAAAAAAAATAAAAATAAAAATAACTAGCACAGAGCCAGGCACTCAAGCCTCACACCTGTAATCCTAGCTACTCAGGAGGCTGAGATCACCGTACAAAGCCAGCCTGGGCAGGAAAGTCTATGAGACTCTTATTGCCAATAAACCACCAGAAAACCAGAAGTGGCACCGTGGCTCAAGTGGTAAAGCACTAGTCTTGAACTGAAGAGCTGAGGACAGCACCCAGTCCCTGAGTTCAAGCCCCATGACCAACAAAACAAAACAAAACAAAATTAGGTTGTAGGTCAGGTGCCGGTGGCTCATGCCTGTAATCCTAGCAACTCAGGAGGCTGAGATCTGAGGATCGTGGTTCAAAGCCAGCCTGGGCAGGAAAGTCTGTGAGACTCTTACCTCCAATAAACCACCAGAAAACTGGAAGTGGCACTGTAGCTCAAATGGGAGAAGGCTAGCCTTGAGCTGATGAGCTCAGGGACAGCGCCCAGGCCCAGAGTTCACCCACGACCAACAACAAAAAAAAAGAAGCCAGGTTGGGCTCACCTGGAGGCCAGCATCCTGGGCTCTATTCTCAGCCTCCCAGTCTACCACTCAGTCCTCCCTAATAATGTGATTAGCCTCCCAAAATCTGAACTAGTTCATATAGCTCATCACTGGGTATGTGGGGAGCATTGTTCAAATATTCTCTGGGCATGAGTCTTGCTAGCTCATCCATGGCTGCAAAACTGCCACAGTGAGCTGAGAAAAATGGGGGGTGAGGGAGGCTTCCCCACATGGGGAATCAGAATGTACTAGCCACTCTACAAGACAGATTTACACCACCCTTCCTGAGGGCAGGGACTAGATGTCAGTATAGCCTGATCCTATGATACCACTGTCCTAACCACCGAGGCTAAAAGCATGGGCAGAGCTGTCTCAGGAAGGTGGTGAAAATGGCTGGTGCTTCCCTGACTGCATTTAGTTGAGTCTTTGGACAATTGGCACTGAGCATGGATTTGGGAAATGTCAGGCCCAGAGGTACAGCCACAGCCCTGCAGGCCCTAGGCCAGGGAAGCCAGGCTTTGCCCAGAAACACCACCTGTACTACCCAAAGCAACTCTGGTTATACATACCTGGGTCCGTTACTTTCATGTTATTCTTAACATGGAAGAAGTTGGAGACATTAAATTTGTCCAGGTTGGTGGGATCCTGTAGCAAGAAGAGAGCCCAGTAGTGTGAACACTTGGCTGCAGCTCAACAGCAAGACAGGTGCATAGCTGTGTCAGGGCCTACAGAGGAGAGGGTGGCAGCTACAAGAGGTCTAGTGAGCTAGGCCGGGTCAATCTCTGCCCCAAGAAAGGCAGATGAGGACAAGGCACACAGCCATATAACTGACTCAGCTGCAACAGGACAAGACACAGGTAGGATCTGGCCGCTCTGCTTATCTACATCAGAGTTCTCATCATCCACGTGCACCTACAGAAATGTCTCAACTGGTACTGCACATGGAGCATGTGATAGTCTGTCCCTGATCTCAGGGAGGGCAGTGCAAAGCCAGCCAGCCATTCTGAGGCCGAGATGGAGGTGGGGACAGAGATAAAGTCCCTGACATGACAGGGGCTTCATAGGAGGAGCTGTGAGATTGGGATGGAGGGAGCAGCCTGTAACAAGACAAGGTGACAAAGGGAGAAGGAGGGGACCACCAAGCCTGGCAAGGAGAGCAAACTGAGCAGAGGGCAAACAGAGAGGCCCTACGGTGGGAGCTCCCTGAAGCTGGCAACTCCCACCTGGAGGGTGATGATATCCTGGCGGGAGAAGGGCTCATCAGTCAGCAGGTCCCGGAAATTCTTGGCCTTGATGTTCAGCTGTTCCACTGCCTGCAGCCAGAAGCAAATTGGTGTTCCAGACCCTAGCCTACTATTAGGCCCAGAGACAAGAAGAGAACAAGCATACAGGATGCTCATCTCTCTCTGCCAATGAGCACTAACCAAGTCACCACTCCACAGCCAGCACTCACCTCATAGGCATAGACATTGCCAGTTGTCCTAACAGCCACAATATGTGTGTTGTCAGTGAACACAGTGAACAGCACTGGGCAGTGGTACTTCCCTAGACAGAAGGCGCAGAGAAAGGCCGGTTGCTCTCTCAAAGATTATGACAAAGCAGGGCATGGTGGCACTAACATATAGTACCAACTACTTGGGAGACTAAGGTAGAAGGATCAAGAATTCAAAACCAGCCTGGATACCGTCACAAGAGCTTAGCTCAAAAATAACATTCTTCCTAGCTACTCAGGAGGCTAACATCTGAGGATCATGGTTCAAAGCCAGCCCAGGCAGGAAAAGTCCATGAGACTCTTATCCCAGGTAAACCACCAGAAAACTGGAAGTGGCACTAGCAAGTGGTAGAGCACTCTTCTTGAGCTGAAGAGCGCAGGGACAGCACCCAGACCCAGAGTTCAAGCCCTACGACTGGGGAAAAAAAAATAATTCTTTAAAAAGGGAGTTGTGGGTAATGTTCTGTGGTAGAGCACTTCAAGGACCAGGCAGACACTCTTACCATTTCAGCCATGCCACTAGCCTTTTTTGCTTTAGTTATTTTTTAGACAGGACCTTGTGTTATTCCCCAAGCTGGACTGTACCAATTCTACTTAAACCTCCTCTGTATTTGGGATGACAAGCACACAGCACTAAGCCCAGCTGTTGATTGAAATGGAGTTTCTCTAGCTTTTTAGCCAGGCTGGCCTCAATCTCTGACTCCTAAGTAGGTAGGCTAACAGGCACAAGCCACTGTGCATGGCCAAAAAACAAGCTTTGCTTAACCCAATGAAGATCATTACAGGGTCAGAGGAGAGAAGATGGAACCCTAAGCCAGCTGTCCTGAGATGGGAACCAGAGGGACAGCAGCCATTCAAGCTAGGCTGTTAGAAAACTCCAAGTCAAGATCCACCCACTCCTGCTTTATCTTTATAAGAAGCAGGTTATCAGGCCCCAGCAGCCTGATCCAAGTGAACACCACACCAGCCACCTCCTTCTCTTGAAACTAAATCTGGACAGGATATAGCTTATCCTTCTAGAGTTCCATCCGCTACTGCTTTGCTCCGCTACTGCTTTGTTGTTAGCATAGTATGTCTTTGTGTGTGTGTGCGCGTGTGTGTGTGTTTTACTGGGATTTGAACTCAGTGACTTGCACTTGTTAGGCTGATGCTCTACTACTGAAGCCATGCCTCTAGCCCTGGTTTTTTTTGCTGGTGATTTTTGAGATAAGGTCTTATGAACTTTTCTGCTCAGCACTCAGGAGGCTGAAGCAGAAGCGTCTTTTTTTTTTTTTGGTCGGTCATGGGGCTTGAACTCTGGGCCTGGGTACTGTCCCTCAGCTCTTCAGCTCAAGACAAGCACTCTACCACTTGAGCTACAGCACCATTTCCGGTTTTCTAGTGTTTTATTGGAGATAGGAGTCTCACGGTCTTTCCTGCCCAGGCTGGCTTTGAACCCCGATCCTCAGATCTCAGCCTCCTGAGTAGCTAGGATTATAGACATGAGCCACCGGCGCCTGGCTAACAGGAGCGTCTTTAGTTAGGGTCAGCCTTGTCTATACAGGGAGTTCCTGTCTGGGGAGTGGGGGGAACAGGGTGGGGGAAGATTTAGTTCAGTGGTAAGGCTTGCATAATGTGCAAAACCCTAGGTTCCATCCCCAGTGCCTAAATAAGGCCAATTCTCATCCTTTCAGTAGTTCTCATTTCAGACCATTCAGATCCTGCAGGTCTGCTCTGCCTTCTGCCCCAACCCCAGCCTCCCCAGTTGTGTCTCCTGTCCCCATCCCTCATTCACAATGTTCTACCGACAATGGACATGCATGAACACCCTCAAGTGCATGCCCATCTTAGGACTTTTGCACTGACTGTACTTCTGCCTAGAGTGTTCTTGCCCAGATCTTCACCTGATTCCCTCCCTCCTTCCATAGGCTCTCCTTACAAATCTTGTCTGCTGGTCCCCTGTGGCCATCTCTCCCTTAACCCTCCGATGCTTTTGTCCATGGCAGACCAACATCTGATCTGCTGTCTGGTTTTCTCTCCCACCAGCATGCAAGCTCCTTTCATTCAGTGAGAGACAGGGTATTTTCCTGAGGGCAAAGGGAGACCTGGGCTAAGGCCACAAATTGCTTCAAGCAAGACAGCACTTGAGGACAGGCAGGGAGCAGGGCAGGTCAGTGCCTCAGCAGGGAACACATGGCTGGGAGACAAAGAGTAGGACAGTAAAAATTTAAAGCAAGAGGCCAGCCACAGCTAGTGGCTCATGCCTGTATTCCTCACTACTTAGAAGGCTGAGATCTGACGATTACAGTTCAAAGCCAGCCCAGACAAAAAAGTCCTTAAGACTTTTATCTTAAATTAACCACCAAAAAGCCAGAAGTGGAACTGTATTTCAAATGATAGCCTTAAACAAAAAAGCTCAGGGAGGGGCTGGGAAGCTAGCTCAGTGGTAGAGTGCTTGCCTTGCATGCATGAAGCCCTGGGTTCGATTCCTCAGCACCACATAAGCAGAAAAAGCTGGAAGTGGCGCTGTGGCTCAAATGGTAGAGCACTAGCGTTGAGCTGAAGAGCTGAGGGACAGCGCCCAGGCCCAGAGTTCAGGCCCATGACCAATTAAAAATAAATAAATAAGTTGAGGGTTTAGTGGTAGAGTGCTTGCCTAGCATGCATGAAGCCCTGGGTTCAATCCCTCAGTACCACATAAACAGAAAAAGCCAAAGTGTTGCTGTGGCTCAAGTGGTATAGTGCTAGCCTTGAGGAAGAACAAGCTCAGGGACTGGGGGAAAAAAAAAAAAAAGCTGAGCATAGTGGTATATGCCTGTAATCCCAACTATTCAGAAGGCAGAGAGGTAGAAAAGATCATATTTCTAAGCAACTTAGACAAAAGAACAAAGGGTTGGAGATATGGTTCAGTTGATAGAACACTAGCCAATAAGTGAAAGCATCAGGTACTAAGTTCTAGTCTCAGTTTCAGATGAAAAAAAAAAAGAAAAGAAAAAAGGAAGAAGGAAAGAAAAAGACACTACTTGGAAAACAAAAGCAAAAGGGCTAGAGGCATGGCTCATGTAGTACAGTACCTTCCTAGCAAATAAGTCCTGAATTCAATCCTCAGTGCCACAAAAATTTTTAAAATTAACGTGACATCTTTTGAGAAACTCAAAGCAAGTGTCTACATTGATCAGAAAGAAAGAAATGAGTGGGGGCTGGAGAAATGGCTCAGTAGTAGAACACACTTAGCATGTATGAAGCCCTGGGTTCAATCTCCAATACTACCACCAAAAAAAAAAAAAAAAGCGCCAAGTACCAGGGGCTCATACCTGTAATCCTAACTGTTCAAGAGTCTGAGATTTGGAGATTTCCAGGATCACAGAAGCCAGCCTGGGCAGAAAAATGCAAGACTCTATCTTCAATTAAGCAACAAAAAAAGCCAAATTGGAAGCATGACTCAAGTGGCAGATCATCAGCTGTGAGCAAGCCAAGTGAGCGCAAGAATCCCAAGTTCAAACCCAGAACCAACAAAAAAAAAAAAAAAAGAAAGAAAAGAAGGAACAACTGTAACATACAAGAACTTGGTGAGTACAGGGGTTGTGGGGTTCTAAGGGCCAGCCCTAGAACTAACTGACAAGGACTCACCTTCATTGTTTTTGGCAAAGTTCAGAATGATGAGGGATTTTGCATCAAGTTTCTAGAAGATAAATAATTAACAAAGAGTTAAGTATGTGAAGAAGTTTTCAGACCTCTGGAGGCCCAATTATGCAGCTAGGACTCTAAAGAGAGCTGCAGAACTACATGTCTTGGGGGTCGTGTTTAGGAAATCTGCAGCCCTCCTCCAAGTTGTAAATAGAGCTCAGTTTAATAGACACAAACACTGACAAATCCCAGGGATGGCCCTAAGCTGAAGGATGAGACTGTAGCAGATAGAGACTGGTTTTAGACTTCCACAATGTCTGAATGTTTTTTGTTTTTTTTTTGGTACTAGGGATTGAACCCAGGACCTTGTATATGTTAACCGCATGCTCTACCAATAAGCTAAATACCTAACTCTTCTCTGAGAATCTTATGGTAAGCACAGATTACTTCTGAAACTTTGGGTATTGTTCTGTCTCAGAATTGCTTTTGCTGGGCTGGGAAGGTGGCTCAGTGGTAGAGCACTTGCCTTGCATGCTTGAGGCCCTGGGTTCGATTCCTCAGCACCACATAAGAAAAAAAGCCGGAAGTGGCGCTGAGGCTCAAGTGGTAGAGCGCTAGCCTTGAGCTGAAGAGCTGAGGGACGGCGCCCAGGCCCAGAGTTCAGGCCCCACGACCGGACCCAAAAATAAATAAATAAATAAGAATTGAGCCGGGCGCTGGTGGCTCACGCCTGTAATCCTAGCTACTCAGGAGGCTGAGATCTGAGGATCTCGGTTCAAAGCCAGCCCGGGCAGGAGAGACCGTGAGACTCCGATCTCCAATAAACCACCAGAAAACCGGAATTGGCGCTGTAGCTCAAGTGGTAGAGCGCTCGCCTTGAGCTGAAGAGCTGAGGGACAGAGCCCAGGCCCAGAGTTCAAGCCCCACGACCAACAAAAAAAAAAAAAAGAATTGCTTTTGCTGTCTGGGGTCTTTTATACTTCCCTATGAAATATAGGATTTCTCTAATTTTGTGAGGAATGGTATTGGAATTCTGATTGGTCATTGTACTGAATCTGTTGGCTCCTTTTGTCATTATAACCATTTTCAAAAAATTGATTCTGCCAATCCATGAGCATGGGAGATCTTTCCATCTTCTGGTGTTCTTCAATTTCTTTCTGAAATGACTTATAGCTTTCATTGTATTTTTAATGCTAGTGGGGTACCAGGTGTTTAGTTTATTCTGTTGTATGAACATTTAAGAAACTTAACCATTAAAAGTGAAGGAAAGCTGGGTGCTGGTGGCTCATGCCTGTAATCCTAGCTACTCAGGAGGCTGAGATCTGAGGATCACGGTTCAAAGCCAGCCCGGGCAGGAAACTCTGTGAAACTCTTATATCCAATAAACTACTAGAAAACCAGAAGTAGTGCTATGGCTCAAGCGGTAGAGGGCTTGCCTTGAGCTGAAGAGCACAGGGACAGCACCCAAGCCTAGAGTTATACCCCCACTACTGACAAAAAAAAAAAAAAAAAAAAGTGGGGCTGGGAAGGTGGCTCAGTGGTAGAGTGCTTGCCTTGCATGCCTGAGGCCCTGGGTTCGATTCCTCAGCACCACATAAGCAAAAAGAAAACAGAAGCCGGAAGTGGCACTGTGGCTCAAGTGGTAGAGCTCTAGCCTTGAGCTGAAGAGCTGAGGGACAGCCCCCAGGCCCAGAGTTCAGGCCCCACGACTGGACCCAAAAAAAAAAAAAAAGTGAAGGAAGAGGGGCTGGGAATGTGGCTTATTGGTAGAGTGCTTGCCTAACATGCATTGAGCCCTGGGTCTGACTCCTCAGTACCATATAAACAAAAAAGCTGGAAATGGCACTGTGGTATAGTGCTAGCCTTGAGCAAAAGCAGCTCAGGGACAGTGCCCAGGTCCAGAGTTCAGACCCCAGAACTGGCAAAAAAAAAAAAAAAAAGGTGACAGAAGCTGAGTACCAGTGGCTCATTTCTATAATCCTAGCTACTCAGGAGGCTGAGATCGGAGGATCAAAGTTTGAAGCCACCCAGGCAGGAATGTCCATGAAACTCTTATCTCCAATTAACCACTAAAAAGCCAGAAGTGGAGCTATGGTCTAGAAGGTAGAGTATCAGCCTTGAACAAAAAACTCAGGGGGAGCCGGGCACTGGTGGCTCACACCTGTAATCCTAGCTACTCAGGAGGCTGAGATCTGAGGATCGTGGTTCAAAGCCAGTCCGGGCAGGAAAGACTGTGAGACTCCTATCTCCAATAAACCACCAGAAAACCAGAAGTGGCACTGTAGCTCAAGTGGTAGAGCGCTTGCCTTGAGCTGAAGAGCTGAGGGACAGTGCCCAGGCCCAGAGTTCAAGCCCCACAACCTACCAAAACAAAAAACAAAACAAAAAAAAACTCAGGGGGAAGCCAGGCACCGGTGGCTCACATCTATAATCCTAGATTCTCAGGAGGCTGAGATCTGAGGATCAAAGTTTAAAGCCAACCCAGGCAGAAAAGTCTGTGAGACTCTTATCGCCAATAAACCACTAGAAAACTGGAAGTGGCACTGTGGCTCAAGTGGTAGAATGCTAGCCTTGAACTGAAGAGCTGAGGAACAGTGCCCAGGTCCAGAGTTCAAGCCCCACGACTGGACCCCAAAAAAAAAAAAACCCTCAGGGAGCTGTGAATGTGGATTATTATTGGTAGAGTGCTTGCCTAGCATGCATTAAGCCCTGGGTTTGATTCCTCAGTAACACATACACAGAAAAAGCCAGAAGTGGCTCTGTGGCTCAAGTGGAAGCCTTGAGCAAAAGAAGCTCAGGGACAGTGTCCAGGCTGAGTTTAAAAAAAAAAAAAAAAAAGCTCAGGGACAGTGCCGAGATCTTGGGTTCAAGCCCCAAGATCCATGCCACCCCCAACCCTCTCCCCAAACACACAAACAAAGTGAACCAGCAATGTAGTTTAGTGGTGGTATAAGCTCCAAAAAATAAAAAAATAAAATAAAAATGCACATGTATGTATGCATACAAATACACCCATAGGCTACGGATGTATATGATGGTAGTGGTGGCAAATGATGGCAAAGTTAGATAGGGTATTTGTCAAAAATTTCTTTAAATGTCTTAGTTTGCCCCTTGCATATAAATTATGGTAAAGTCTTTGGGCTCACTGCTGCTGGAGAAGTGAGGGGCCTGTGGAGACCTTGGAAGAGGAAGACAAAGTTGCCTTTCCTGGAGAACTCCTGGATCAGGGCTTACATCCTGGCAACCACTGCCACAGTGGTGTGGGGAAGGCTGAGGATAGATGCTGAAGGGCTCCCACCTGGGTCCCTGGGCCATGTCCCAGCCCAGGATCTTCCCTAACTGGTTGCATATGTGCTCCTCCACCCCAATTTCATTCCTCCTCATCCCTTCTTGTGCAGAGTGGGAAGGGGGGGAAGGTTACTCCCAGTGCCATGAATAATTCTACTAATCCACATAATTCTACTACATCCACGCGGGAAAACCACCAGAAGAGAGTAAAGGCAAAAGTACAAATCTCACTAACATTACTTAAATTACCACTACCTACCTCTCCATTGCTGGGGTTGATCCCATACTTCGTAAGCCATGGAAAAATATTCCTGATGGAAAAAGAGAACAGACTATGTTCCCTGAGCATTAAGACTTGCCTGATAACCACACCCTAAGACTAGGTTTTACTTGCTTCTAGGTAAGAGGTCTATGAGTAAGTTGGGCCTTCTTGTGAGAGGAAAAAGTTCTTTTCCCTTATCAAAGAAAGCAAGGCAATATTCGTAGTTATACAGTTTCTAAATATGTCAGGAACTGTTTTGTTGGGGGTAAGCTATATTCCAAGGCCATTAGCACTTTGACTGAATTATGCATAAATGGCAAAAACTATAGATGGGTAAGAAAGCATAAACAAGTGTTTTCATGTGTATACAATGAAACACCCTGCCAGAATCAAACATACTGCACAATAGAGTGCAGCTCCTCAGATCCTAGTGCTCCCCTACCCTCACTCACTCATTTCCAAAAATCAAGCATGATGATTGTTTAAGCTCAGCAGTTTGAGGGTAACTAGTCAACATAGCAAGATCTCGTCTTTTTTTTTCTTTTCTTTTTTCTTTTTTTGAAGAGAGATGATAGTTGTACAGAGTTCTGATGTCAGAGAGAAAAGCTCTCTCTTCATAAGTGAGCTAAGCTGGGCACCAGGGCTCACACCTGTAATCCTACTCAGGAGGCTAAGATCTGAGGATTGTGGTTCAAAGTTAGCCAGGGCAGGAAAGTCCATGATACTGCTCCAATTAATCACAGAAAAAGCCTGACATGGTGCTGTAGCTCAAGGGGTGGAGGGTTGGCTTTAAGCAAAAGGAGTTTAGGGACAGCACCCAGGCCCAGAGTTCAAGGCTCAGGGCCAGCAAAAAAAAAAAAAAAAAAAGTTAGCTAAAATGGTGTTTACAGTGTTATCTCAGATATGAAACTACAAATAAATTCACAACAAAGAGGGAGATAAATATTCATAGCTATGATGCTGAAGAATGAAATTATGGGACATTTTTCCATTTTTTTCTTTGAAGTATTTTGCAAATTTTCTAAAGTAAGCTTGAAACAATAACAAACAAAATTACAGAGCTGGGCACTGGTAGCTCATGCCTGTAATCCTAGCTACGCAGGAGGCTGAGATCTGAGGATCGCAGTTCAAAGCCAGCCTGGACAGGAATGTCTGTGGGACTCTGATCTCCAATTAACCACAAGAAAACCAGAAGTGGCACTGTGTAGCTCAAGTGGTAGAGTGTTCCCCTTGAGCTGAAGAGCTCAGGAACAGCGCCCAGGCCCAGAGTTCAAGCCCCACAACCGACCAAAAAAAAAAAAATTACAGAAGCTAACTTATGCTGGAACATAAAATTGGGCATAACACTTCAAGATGTATTGTGATCCTTCATTATGGTTTTGCTAAAGACCCCAGTTCATTAGTGTGCCTATTAGGTTCAGAGTGCCAGTCAGGACATTAGAATAGTAAGGATAAAGGAGGACTCAATCCACTGTCAGCAGTGACTGCAGCACTGCTGTGGTATCTGAGGTCCTGGCTATCCTTCCTGGTTCCATCCAGCTCCTGAGACATCTGCAACCAAGATTCTGGTGACTCAGGCACTGCCTGGAATAACAAACCCAATGTCCCCCTCCTTTGTGGATAAGAGCAATCTCATTACATTTGTCAGACCAAAAAGAAAAACTCACGGCAAGTCAAAGATGACACCTTCTGGAGTGCAGACTGGATGGGTGAAGGGCTGCAGAGAGAGACTGAAAAGGACAAAGTTACTCCTAGGCAGCAACCAGGCAGACTGGTCAGCCATGGGCCAATAAGCCACCATGACTGGCTATCACAACCTTTTCCTCTGGCTTCCCTCCTTCAGCCATTTCTCCAATAGTTCCCAGGGGTCCCTCTGCATAGCTTTTGCTGGCAACCATCTCAATGTTCCCTCTCACTCCCAGATCATTAAGACCAAAGGCATGGTCCCAGAAGATAATGTGGAGCCTTAGAGCAACAACAACAGCCAGGTTCCTCTCACACCACTGTGCAGCATATGAGCTTTACTTCTCATGTCAAGTTCAACAGAGGCCTGTGGAGGTGGACCTGGGAAAGCAGGACTGGGATTTACTTTCCAAATCCTCACACAGCAGACAGACTAGCCTTTTATATTAAAAGAAACTCTACCCATCCTGCGAGGGACTAAGGACGGATATTGTGATCTGGAGAACTCTGCCTGGCCCTGATAAGACAGAGTGCACACACCATCCTCCATACTTTCCCCATGTGCTGAATACATAATTGAGTTAAGATAGTGTCCCTGGAAGCCCCTCAGAAGTTCTGAAACATGGATGTGGGAGTAGAGGGTTGCACAGCTATTTCCTCTATATGGAATCTGTAGAGGAAAGGTAAAGAGTCACAGGTGAAGAGACTGCAGCTGACAAACTGCTTGTGCCAGTATTATTCTTGCACAGGGTTCTGTCACTAACCATCTGGAACCTTGGCTGATATGGCTTCTGCTTATACATCAATTACCTATGAGTTCTGTAACACACCTATAACCCAGATAACCTGAAAGTACTATGGATCCAACCAAATTCCAACCAGGCCTAGCACAGTGACCTTTCTGGATGTTGCCCAGGAGTTGCTTCAGGCAACATAGCCACCTCTGTCTCTTTAGTTCAACCTTTTAACTCTAACTGTAGTAGTGGCATTGATGCTGCTGGCAAGTGGCTAGAAGAGGACCAATACCAAAGCAGGCTCTAAATGCTATGATGAAGAACAGAGGTCTGCTCCCAACATGACCCAAAAAGCCATACTCTCAAAGCACATTTTTACTTATGACCCACAACAGTTAAAAAAAAGAATGATACTGGGTGCTGGTGGCTCACACCTATAATTCTAGTCACTCAGAAGACTGCGATCTGAGGATGGCAGTTCAAAGCCAGCCTAGGCAGGAAAGTCTATGAGATTCTTATCTCCAATTAAACACCAAAAAAAATCTCTGGGTGGGGGCGGGTAGGGAATTGGAATCAAGAATGAAAGCATAAGCCGGCGAGGGTGGCTCACGCCTGTAATCCTAGCTACTCAGGAGGCTGAGATCTGAGGATCACGGTTCAAAGCCAGCCCAGGCAGGAAAGTCCATGAGACTCTTATCTCCAATAAACCACTAGAAAACTGGAAGTGGCTCTGTGGCTCAAGTGGTAGAGCACTTGCCTTGAGCTGAAGAGCTGAGGGACAGTGCTAAGGCACAGAGTTCAAGCCCCACGATCGACCAAAAAAAAAAAAAAAAGAATGGAAGCATTTCTATCACATGAGCTTATATCCAATCTGAAAAACAGTACATTCCCATGAGTCTGATGACAAAAACTTTATTTGTATATCCTCCCCTGAGTGGGTGCTGCTGAGAAGGAAAGGTCCACACCCCACTAGTCACTGTATGAGCCTCCCTGGAAATAAGTGCAGGGAGGCTGGTGGTTGGGGTCCCTATCTCACTGCATTGTGGTATCTAGATAATCTGACTCAACTGTGGTATAATACTCAGCTGTGTCAGCCTAGCCTTTACAATCAGAACCTGGGAAGGAGGAAGATAGAATGTAGACAACTGTGTGCAGAGGAAATACCACCACGCAGGCCCTAGGACACCACTAGGACCTGTCTAGGAGGACAGTGTGGGTGGTGGGTAAATTTGAGGTTTGTGACACCAATTTCCCAATGAGACACTTAGGTAAAGCACATCACTACTCTAAGCACTAATTCTGTCAACTAAGAAACAAGTTTAACAATCTCAGAAGACAGCTGAAGCTAAAAAGCAAAGCTTGCCGGGCACCAGTGGCTCATGCCTGTAATCCTAGCTACTCAGGAGGCTGAGATCTGAGGACCGAGGTCCAAAGCCAGCCCAGACAGGAAAGGCCATGAGACTCTTATCTCCAATTAACCACCAGAAAACCGAAAGTGGCACTGTGGCTCAAGTGGTAGAGTGCTAGCTTTGAGCTAAAGAGCCGAGGGACAGTGCCCAGGCCCAGAAATCAAGCCCTATGACTAACAAAAAAAAAAAAAGTTCGTAAAGACATACAATAAGGGCTGGGAAGGTGGCTCAGTGGTAGAGTGCTTGCCTTGCATGCATGAGGCCCTGGGTTCGATTCCTCAGCACCACATAAGCAAAAAGGAAAAAGCCGGAAGTGGAGCTGTGGCTCAAGTGGTAGAGCGCTAGCCTTGAGCTGAAGAGCTGAGGGACAGCGCCCAGGCCCAGAGTTCAAGCCCCATGACCAGACCCCCCCCCCCCAAAAAAAAAAGAAAGACATACAATAAGCAAAAAATATCTACTAGCTGTGGTCAAAAGATCCATTTCCTCCTAGCTCAGGGAAGATCCTGATAGAGAAACAGTGAGATCCTTGGTGCCTCTTCAAAGTTCTGATTCACTACAGAGAGTACACACTGAGCATCCCTAACCTGAAAATCCACTATATCTTCTAACATGTCAGATTTTCAGGTTAAGGATGATCAACTGGTAGTCTATGCAAATATTATTCCAAAATCTAAAAACTCACAGATCTAAAACACATCTGGTCCCAAGAATTTTGGAAAAAAGGTATTCAACTTGTATAAGACAATGACCATAGAGAAATGAAAAACTTGGAATTGGAGATATGGCTCAAGTTTCATAGCCATGAGCAAAAAAGCTGTAAGGTTCTGAGTTCAAGCCCTAGTAAGCCCTAATGCCAGAAAAGAAGGAAGGAATTTAAAACTTACCTGCAGTGGTCAAAAGGTAGACGACGAAAATTTGACTGTGGGATATCTATTTAAAATTAAATAAAAAGCAGAAAATATATTAGTCAAATATGTCATCCATGTGCATCTACCATTAAAATTATGTTTTATGAAAAAAAAATATGTAAACTGCCTAGTACAACTACTCTTAAGGATCTTGTTTCTTTCTTGACTTATTTCTTTTTTTCTTTTTTGTTGGTAGTGGGTTGAATCCAGGACACTGATTCACTGAGCCACAGCTCTAGCCCCTGGATTAAAAATTTTAATAAATAGCCAAGTGCTAGTAGCTCACACTTGTATCCTAGCTATTTAGGAGGCTGACATCTGAGGATTGCAGTTCGAAGCCAGCCTGGGCAGGAAATTCTGAGAGATTCTTATCTCCAATAAACCACTAGAAAACTGGAAGTGGTGCTGTAGCTCAAGTGGTAGAGCTAGCCTTGAGCTGAAGAGCTGAGGAACAGAGCTCAGGCTTAGCGTTCAAGCCCCACAACCAACCAAAAAAAAAAAGAAAGAAAGAAAAAGAAAAGAAAATATGACCCTAATACACGAGGTGTGTCAAAAAAAAAAAGAACTGATGGCGGTACAGCTCAATGGCTGAGCATTTACTTAACATTTGCAAGGCCCTGAGTTTGATCCTCAGCACTACAAAGAAAACAATTTTTTTAAGAATTTAGAGGGAAAAGTACATGTTTTTTGTTTTGTTGGTTGTTTTTTTTTTTTTTTTGCCAGTCCTGGGGCTTGAACTCAAGGCCTGGACACTGTCCTTGAACTTCTTTTGCTCAAGGCTAGCACTCTACCACTTGAGCCACAGTGCCACTTCTGTGTTTTTCTATTTATGTGGTACTGAGGAATTGAACCCAGGGCTTCATGAATGCTAGGCAAGCACTCTATCACTAAGCCACATTCCCAGCTGCAAAACTACAGATTTTTTTTTTTTTGTCAGTTGTGGGGCCTAAACTCTGGGCCTAGGTGCTGTCCCTCAGCTCTTTAGCTCAAGGCTAGCGCTCACTTGAGCCACAGTGCCACTTCTGGCTTTTTCTACTTATGTGATGCTGAGGAATCCAACCCAGGGCCTCATGCATACAAGGCAAGCACTCTACCACTGAGCCACCTTCCTAGCCCCGCAAAAGTACATATTCTTTACTTCCATTAAAATAGTAACTGGCCAGTGGGTGCCAGTACTCATGCCTGTAATCCTGGAGGCTGAGATCTGAGGATTGTGGTTCAAAGCCAGACTGGGCAGGAAAGTCCGTAAGACTCATCTCCAATAAACCACTCACAAAACCAGAAGTAGTGGTGTGGCTCAAGTGGTAGAGCACTAGCCTTGAGCTGAAGAGCTAAAGGACAGTGCCTAGGCCCAGAGTTCAAGCTCCACAATCGACAAAAAAAAAAAAAAAAAGTAACTGGCTAGATGCTGATGACTCACACCTGTAATCTTAGCTCCAAGCTATTCAGGAGGCTGAGATCTGACAATCATGGTTCAAAGACAGCCTTAGCAGGAAAGTCTGTGAATGTTATCTCCTATTAATCACCAAAAAGCTAGCCGTGAGCTGTGGTTTGAATGGTAAAGTACTAGTTTGAGAAAAAAAAGGTAAGGAACAGCATCCAGGTCCTGAGTTTAAGCCCCATGACCAGCATAAAAAAAAAAAAAAAAAAAAAAAGATAGCCGGTCACCGGTAGCTCACACCTGTAATCCTTCTTACTCAGGAGGCCGAGATCTAAGGATCACAGCTCAAAGCCAGCCCACACAGGAAAGTCTGTGAGACTCTTATCTCCAATAAACCACCAGAAAACTGGAAGTGGCACTGTGGCTCAAGTGGTAGAATGCTGACCTTGAGCTGAAGGACAGAGCTCAGGCCCAGAGTTCAAGCCCCAAGACCAACTAAAAAAAAAAAAAGATTACTGTAGCCAGGTGTGGCCCATGCTGTAATTCCAGCACCCAGCAGGGAAAGACATCAGGATCTCAGGTTCCAGACCAGCCTGGACTATACTGTGACACTATCTTAAAAACAAAAAAGCCAGGGTACCAGTGGCTTACACTCAGGAAGTTGAAACCCCAGGCAGAGAAGTCTTTAAGATTCCATCTCCAGTTTATCAGCAAAAAGTCAGGCTGAAGATGTGGCTCAAGTAGTAGAGCACCAACCATAAACAAACAAGTTGAGTACAAGGCCTTGAGTTCAGGCCCCGGTACCATGGCACGTGTATGCACACACACCACACACACAAATCTCCATTAAGAGGAAACAGTTCTCTAATGTTAAGTATATATCCTGTCTATGGATCATGTCCTCAGCTTAACTGTCTATTGTCCATCTTTCTGGCTGATTTATAATGAAGACATGGCTCCTTGGGCTGGGAAGGTGGCTCAGTGGTAGAGAGCTTGCCTTGCATGCCTGAGGCCCTGGGTTCGATTCCTCAGCACAACATAAGCAAAAAGAAAAAAAGCCAGAGGGCTGGGAAGGTGGCTCAGTGGTAGAGCGCTTGCCTTGCATGCATGAGGCCCTGGGTTCGATTCCTCAGCACCACATAAACAAAAAAGAAAAACCCGGAAGTGGCGCTGTGGCTTAAATGGCAGGGCACTAGCCTTGAGCTGAAGAACTGAGGGACAGCGCCCAAGCCCAGAGTTCAGGCCCCACGACCAGACCCCCCCCCCAAAAAAAAAAAACAAAAAAAAAAGAAAAGAAAAAAGCCAGAAGTGGCGCTGTGGCCCAAGTGGTAGAGCGCTAGCCTTGAGCTGAAGAGCTGAGGGACAGCGCCCAAGCCCAGAGTTCAGGCCCCACAACCGGACCCAATAAAACAAAACAAAACAAAACAAGACATGGCTCCTTAGTACCACCTCCATCCCTAGAGATGCAAAGAAGGATTTCATTATTTACCTGGCTTCTTGCCACCATAGAAGTGAGTATATTCAGCACAGGTAATGTACCTGAAGAAGAAAGGAAGAAAGTATGTTACTATATCACCTCTATACAGAAGATAGTATGAAAACTATAAGTAGGTAACTGATGACTTATGTGTCACTCATTCAGCAAATGCTTATTAAACATTTGCTAGAAGCTGGGCACCCGTACCTGTAATCCTAGCTTCTCAGGAGGCTGAGATCTGAGGATCGTGGTTCAAAGCCAGCCCAGGCAGAAAAGTCTGTGAGACTGTGATCTCCAATAAACCACTAGAAAACCGGAAGTGGTGCTGTGGCTCAAGAGGTAGAGCGCTCACCTTGAGCTGAAGAGCGCAGGGACAGCGCCCAGGCCCAGAGTTCAAGCCCCAGGACAGAAAAAAAAAAAAATTTGCTAGGTGTCAGCCACAATTTAATGATAAATACAACAGACATAGGGATGCATAGTAAGTTTTTTTTTTTTTTTGGTCCGTCGGGGGGCTTGAACTCTGGGCCTAGGCACTGTCTCTCAGCTCTTCAGCTCAAGGCGAGGCCTCTACCACTTGAGCTACAGCACCACTTCCGGTTTTCTGGTGGTTTATTGGAGATAGGAGTCTCACAGTGTTTCCTGCCCGGGCTGGCTTTGAACCGTGATCCTCATATCTCATCCTCCTGAGTAGCTAGGATTATAGGCGTGAGCCACCAGCCAATAAATATTAACAGTCCTGTTTTGCTCTGAAGGAAATGAACTGGATTTATCAAAAGACCTGACAAGGGAAAGAACCTAATAAGCACATGAAATCTAGACTTCTTCAACTTAACAATATTAAAAAGTAATATGTATGGAATAGCCCATATAAAAGCCCAGAGGTGGGTAAAGCAGGATGTGCTGAAGAAAAAGGGAGATGTCACTTAAGAAGAGTATGCATAGAGTGTGTGGTAAATAGAGATAAACAGTAACTGGATCACAAAAGGACCCTATGGTCAGATCTCTCTGAGATCTATGGAAGATCTATAGGACCCTATGTAAGATCTCTAAACTTGTAATGGTGGAACATCAGGCAAAGTGAAAAGTAGTCACCTAGGTGAACCAGTAGAACTTTCTGGCAGACATGAAGAGGTGAGAGAGGCAAGAAGGCCAATCCCAGATGCTCCTCATAATAAACAATGAGGAATCCATCATAGTAAGTAGAAAATGCCTTTACTACACCTAATCTGCCAAATATCTTGGGCTTAACCTAACTCCTTAATACTTACATTAGCCTACAGATGGACAAAATCATCAAATAAAAAGCTTATTTTAGGGGGAGGCTGGGAAGGGATGTGAAGGGTAACCAAAGGAGGAGGCTACAATGCTTGATAAGAAATGTACTCATTGTCTTGCCCATGTAATTGTAACCCCTCTGTACAGTATGTTCACAATAAAAAAAAAAAAAAAACACAAAAAAAAGCTTATTTTAGGAGAACAGGGTATATAGTTCAGTTATAGAACTCTGGATTCAATCCCCAATACCTAAAAAAAGATGTGGAGGCCTCCATTTATCAGGACATGGTGAAGAGAAATAACAAGATCCAGGTGAAATGTAGATAAGCCAAGTGTGCAAAATGGAGCAAGTGGAGTACAGATATCAAGACTGGGGGCTGGGAAGGTGGCTCAGTGGTAGAGCCATTGCCTTGCATGCATGAGGCTCTGGGTTCAATTCCTCAGCACCACATAAGCAAAAAGAAAAAAAGCCAGAAGTGGCTCTGTGGCTCAAGTGGTAGAGCGCTAGCCTTGAGCTGAAGAGCTGAGGGACAGCGCCCAGGCCCAGAGTTCAGGCCCCACGATCGGACCCAAAAAAAACAAAAACAAAACAGATATCAAGACTGGGAACTCAAGTCATACTTGTGTGAAATTTGAACCATGGTACTTAGCTAGTCAAGAGTCTACAAAACAGGAACAAAGCCAATCAAAATAAGTGCTTAACATCTAATCAAAGCTATTAGAGAGAGTAAACTGAAAAAAAAAAACCAACATTTTTGTGTGCCACTACTGGGGCTTGAACTCAAGGTCTCTTGCTCTTACATAGCCTTTTCAATTTCTCAGATTTGTCTGCCCAGGCTGGCTTCATAGCAACCCCCAGATCTCAACCTCCTGAGTAGCTAAGACTATAGGTGCAAATCACTAGCATCCAACTCCAAAGTATGGATTTTTTTTTTGGGGGGGGGGTCCAGTTGTGGGGCCTGAACTCTGGGCCTAGGCGCTGTCCCTCAGCTCTTCAGCTCAAGGCTAGCGCTCTACCACTTGAGCCACAGTGCCACTTCCAGCTTTTTTCTTTTTGCTTATGTGGTGCTGAGGAATGAACCTAGGGCCTCAGGCATGCAAGGCAAGCGCTATACCACTGAGCCACCTTCCCAGCCCCGAAAGTAGGATTATTTATTCACAAGCTTGCCTAGTTAACAGCCGTGTCTTGGTATCTCTGACTGTACTGCACATTTCTAGCCCCCCAAAAAGCCAAAATTCATATATCAAAACATGGCCAGGTGCCAGTGACTCACACTGACTATTCCTAGCTATTCAGGAGGCTCTGATCTGAGGATTAGGGTTCAACCAGCCAGGGAAGGAGACTTTTACCATCGAAAAAAAACAAAAACAAAAACTGGAAGTGGAGCTGTGGCTTAAATGGCAAAGCACCAGCCTTGAGCAAAAAAAGAAAGTTAAGAGACAGCACACAAGCCTTGAGTTTAAGCAAACCCAGTACTAGGAATAAGTAAAATTAATAAACATGGCTTCTACTGAGTACATATTACTTCACAATAACACAAAGTTGAAGTCTAAGTCAACCCACAGTAATTAGGTACTGTCTATAAAAACATAACTTTTTAAGATAGGGAAGGGCACACTCTGAGTCAGAAAATCAAGAGTTCTACTATTCGATGTCTATCAGTTCTCCAGATTGAAATGTTGAATAAAAGCTGGCAATTACAAGATAAAGAAATCAACTTTCAGATCACCTCCAGAGATTTAAAAAAAAATGAAGAAACCTATAAGGTTTGAAAGAAGAGAAGGCCCAGAAATGGAGACAGAGAAAACCAGTGGCTAGTGAAACAGCGCCATGAAAGGGCTTCAGAAAGGAGTGGACACTATGTAATAAGATGCTGAGAAGCCCGATCAAATGAAGGCTGCAAGTTGAACGCCAGATTTGGAATCCCTACTGATGGTGAGGGTACAAAGCACTGTTTTCAAGAGACAGCAGGGCTGGGAAGGTGGCTCAGTGGTAGAGTGCTTGCCTTGCATGCCTGAGGCCCTGGGTTAGATTTCTCAGCACTACATAAGCAAAAAGAAAAAAGCCGGAAGTGGCGCTGTGGCTCAAGTGGTAGAGTGCTAGCCTTGAGCTGAAGAGCTGAGGGACAGCGCCCAGGCCCAGAGTTCAGGCCCCACGACCGGACCCCCCCCCCCCAAAAAAAAAAAAAAAGAATTGCAGTATCAAGAGACAGCAAACACTGCGTGCCGGTGGCTCAGGCTTGTAATCCCAGCTATAGGAGACTGAAATCTGAGGATTGAGGTTTGATGTCAGACAAGGTAGAGAGGTCCGTGAGATTCTAATCTCCAATTAACCACCAAAAAGCAGAAGTGGAGCTGTGGCTCAAGTGACAGAGTGCTAGTCTTGCGGGGGGGGGGGGGGGGGGGGGATTCTCAGGGACAGTATCGTATCTAGGCCCTAAGTACAAGCCCCTCAGGACGGACACATACACACACATACAAAGCAGAAAAACGGCATGTTAGCCACAGTCTTTTTACTTGTTCTAAACAGCATCACACAGAAAGGTCACAGCACGTATGCGGGACGTAAGGACCACAGCTAACGTGAAGAGGGCAGTGGAGGCAAAGTCGAAGGAGGCCACCGAGAGGGTCTTGCTCCGAAGGCCACGGCCGACCACCACAACAGCTGAGACCCAGAGAGATCACGGTCGCCGAGGGGACACTGCCGGGCCCGGAGAGGAGGCGGAGGCCATGGCTGCCGCGTGGACATTGCCGGGGCGGCGGGCGGGGGTAGGGCCGGATGCCACGGCCGCTGAGGGGACATCGCCGAACCCAAGGAGTAGGCGGAGGCTTCCGGAAGTGACCTATGTGATGGGTTCCAACTCCCAGCAGAGAGAAACGGCGCAGCGCCAAGTGCGAGACCAAGGAAGAGCAGGTCTCCTGGCTGACGCTCAAACTTACATCTTGTCCTTCTGGTGCTGTCGCTTCCCCATGGTGGCAGCTGCGACCGCAGAACTTGCGAGCGCGGAAAAGCGGCAGCAAACAACTCAGAACCGCGGGCCTCCGCGCCTTCGTGAGTACTTCCGGGTTTCGGGGCTTCCTCTCCGGAAGTGACGCTAGGCATCCCGGGAACTGTAGTTTTCTTAATTCTAGTGCTCTTGCAACGTAGGGCGTGGAAAGGTGCTTAGGCTCCGGAGTACAGCTGGTCAGTTTCCAAGCCGCGGCTTCCCCGGGATCCTAGCTGCTTCGCCTCGTTACCACCCTAACTCAAGCTCAATGCCAGCCCAGCTCAAAGCAACCCTGAGTTCTCAGGTTTTTTATAAAGCCGCTTGCGGCTGCCAATTCTACCAGACTCTGTCCCTTCTCTGCTTTACCCGGCAGTGGCCGACAAAGGGATGAGAACATCAGCTCTCTACTGGTTCACCTCTTGTCTTTGTCCACACAGCCTTCAGGCCACCTAACAGCCCAGAGGCAGGTTATCAGCTAGAGGCCGAAGTCCTCTCTGATTCTCTAAGTCTCCTGCTAGGTTATTCTCTTAAGCCAGATCAGTATGTTTGTGGCCTGTTTGGGTTTATTAGTTTGAGGGCGGGAGATATTACTGAGGATTGAACCCCACAGCCCAAAGCATGCTAAGCATGGATTCATGATATGTGTGTGCACGCACCTTGCACCCCATCACTAGAACTTGAATTCGGCCTGGGCACTGTTCTTTAGCTTTTTCGCTCCATGCTGGCGCTGGCTTTTTGGTGGTTAAATGGAGATAAATCTCTCATGGCCCTAATCCTAGCTACTCAGGAGGCAGAGATCTGAGGACTATGGTTCAAAGCCCACCCAAGCAGGAAAGCCAGTGAGACTTTTATAACCAATTAACCATTAGGTAGAACACTAGCCTTAAGCAAAAAATTTCAGGTACAGCATCCAGGATCTGACCTGAGTTCAAGCCCAGCACACACATAGACACAAAAATGTCCCCCAGACTTTCCTATCCAGGCTGATTTTGAATAGGTCACAACATCCTGAGTAGCTAGAACAAAAGCATGAGCCACTAGCACCCAGTCAGGCTCATGATTTTATTTTATTTTTATTTATTTATTTATTTTGCCTGTCGTGGGGCCTGTACTTTGGGCCTGCGCGCTGGCCCTCAGCTCTTCAGCTCAAGGCTAGCGCTCTACCACTTGAACTACAGCGCCACTTCTGGCTTTTCTTTTCTGCTTATGTGGTGCTGAGGAATCGAACCCAAGGCCTCATGCATGTAAGGCAAGCACTCTACCACTGAGCCTCCTTCCCAGCCCAGGCTCATGATTTTAAACACCACCTTATACCATACTCTCAATGTAAAATCTCTGGCCTTTGAGTAACTACTGAGTTCAAGTTTAACATGTTGGGTCAAAGCAGAATTCTCAGTCTCCCTGCCTTCTACTCCCAAGCCTCACTCTGCTAAGTGGTACCACCATCCATCCAGTCACCCAAAGCCTAGTCTCAGGTTATAACTGACTTCTCAACTAGTTTTCAACATAAATATCAGGAAAAAATTTTTTAAAATGTCCAACCTTTCTCCATACACCTGTTAGAATTTATCCCAATTGTAATCTATAGTGATTTTGTCTGTGTACTGATGGACACCCACAGAGGGGTATGGGTTATAAACCCTTTAGGGACAGAGACAGGGACCTGGACTGCTTAGTTTATTTTACAGTCCCAAACAAGATAAGGGGCATATACCATGGCTCACTGAATATATTTGCTAATGTCCAGGAATCATCAAGCATTTAGAAACATTTCAACATACTGCTTGAGTTCTACAGCCTGCATGCAATATAACAATGAAAGTTACATACTTTTGAAACACCTCAGGATAAAAGTGCCAAATTGTAAACTGACAAGCCTGCTCACTTTCCTCCACCTTCCCAGGCCTCTTTTTGTTGTTGGTGGTGGTAGTGGTTGTGGGGCTTGAATTCTGGGCCTGGGCACTGTCCCGGAGCTTTTCAGCTCAAGGCTAGAGCTCTACCACTTGAGCCACAGTGCCACTTCCAGTCTTCTGATCGATTTATTGGAGATAAGAGTTTCATGGATTTTCTTGCCCCAGCTGACTTTGAACCACTATCCACAGATCTCAACCTACTGAGTAGCTAGGATTATAGGTGTGACCCACCAGCCTTCAGCTTTCTTCTTTTATTTTATTTTTTTTTGTCGGTTGTGGGGCTTGCACTCTGGGCCTGGGCTCTGTCAGCTCAAGGCTAGCACTCTACCACTTGAGCCACAGCACCACTTCTGGTTTCCTGGAGGTTATTTGGAGATAAGAGTCTCACAAGCTTTCCTAACCAGGCTGGCTTTGAATTGTGATCCTCAGATTCCAGCCTCCTGAGTAGCCCGGCTCAGTTCAGTTTCCATACCAACGTTTAGGCCAGGGATATGAAAAATACAGTAGATTTGTAACTCAAGTGAAGAAAGGCCCAAATAGGCCTGAGAGGCACTAAACAGAAGGATAGTACTCCCCACCCTTTCAAATTACACACGACTGAATTGTCATGCTATAGGTAGAGAACTTCACATAGTACTGATCCAGTCAGGGTCAGGAGGCCTTGGAGGCTTAGGCCTAGACCCCCCTTCACTCCCCAGCCCCTCTTCTGGCTAGAGGGAGCCTTTGGATCACACAACACCTGGGCAGTCTAGCACAAGGATGGCACCTCCATGGGAACTTTATTAATTCCTCACGCTGTGGTCTGCAGGGAAGAGGTTACTGGCTCCTGTTGGGGGGCGTGGACTCTGCACTGCCAGGGTCATTCTCTGAGTCGTCTTTGGGTTTGGACACAGGCTGGAATTTGAGTAGGACAGGTGGGGAGAAGATAGAAGCTCTCACACCATGGCATGGAGTTTCACCTGTATTGGGGGATCCATTACAGGCCGAAGTCCTGCATGGGAGAAAAGACATCATATGTTCATGAGGTAGGACACCAGCACAAAGGGCCACCAAAGGTACAGGTGACAAAATCCTAGCCTGCAAGATGACTTCCTGAGACAATTCTACTTCCAGATACCTCTCCTGTGGAGAAGAAACAGTACAGAGAAGCAGTGGGCTATTCTGGTTCTGGCAAAGAGATGCGGAAGATATTCCAATGTTGTTGTTTTTTTAACAGTAATAAAGAGAAAGCATTTTATGTTTCATATTTTCTATTTTTTCTGTTAAGGTACATGTGTGTGACTGCACATATGAGTGACAGATTATCAATAGTTTACAGATTCAACAGTTCAATATGATGGTCATCTGCAGTAACTACAGATTACATGGATGGCTGAGATGGTAACACAGTGAATATTGGGGCTGGGAAGGTGGCTCAGTGGTAGAGCGCTTGCCTTGCATGCATGAGGCCCTGGGTTCGATTCCTCAGCACCACATAAGCAAATAGAAAAAAAAGCCGTAAGTGGCGCTGTGGCTCAAGTGGTAGAGTGCTAGCCTTGAGCTGAAGAGCTGAGGGACAGTGCCTAGGCCCAGAGTTCATGCCCCATGACTGGACCCAAAAAAAAAAAAAATGGTAACACAGTGAATATTAACATTTTCCATGAACAAAATTATTAAAAGTATTGTATAAATTATTTTTAAATAAGATACATATCATATACATATATATCTTATATACACATATCTATGCCAGTGGCTTATGCATGTAGCTCTGAGATCTAAGTTTTGTGGTTCAAAGCCAGGCTGGGTAGGAAAGTCTGTGAGGGTTTTTTTGTTTTGTTTTGTTTTTTTATTGTGAAAATACTGTACAGAGGGGTTACAATTACATGGGCAAGATAATGAGTGCATTTTTTATCAAGCATTGTAGCCTCCTCCCTTGTTTCCCCTTCCCATCCCTTCCCCTCCTCCCCCCCATCCTCCCCGCCTCCCACCCCTGCACCAAAGTTGTAAAGTTCGTTTTCGACCTAATGACTTGTACATCTCATTGTTGCAATGGGTCCACCTGTATCCCTATTTAAATGATTTGTTTTCAATGTTTTATTAATGAAAAAAATCAAGTTGCTGAGAAAGTACTTGCGATATGACTCTAATTGACTCTGGAGCCAGAGTGTGCGCAATTTCAATCATAACTCTACCAATAATTAACTGAGTAACTTTGTTACTCTATTCTTTGTTTTATTGTTTTGTTTTGTTTTTGTCAGTCATGGGGCTTGAATTTGGGGTCTGGGCACTGTCCTTTAGCTCTTTTGTACTAGGCTAGCACTCTACCACTTTGAGCCACAGCTCTACTTCAAGCTTTTTTGTGGTTAATTGGAGATTAGTCTCATACACTCACTTGCCCAGGCATGCTCCAAATAGCCATCCGCAGATCTTAGCCTCTAAGTATAGCTAGGGTTACAGGATGAGCCAAAAGCACCCAGAAACCTTTATTCTTTTTGTTTTCCCCCAGTCCTAGGGCTTGAACTCAGGGAACTGTCCCTGAGCTTCTTTTGCTCAAGGCTAGCATTGTACCACTTGAGTCAAAGCACCACTTTCAGCTTTTTGTTTATGTGGTACTGAGGAATGGAACCCAGGGCTTCATGCGTGCAAGGCAAGCACTCTACCACTAAGCCACATTCCCACCCCCAACCTTTATTCTAAATTGCTTAGATATAACCAAGGTATCTTCTTGTAGATGTATAGATATAGTACATCAAGGCACTGGAGTATTATTCAGAGCTATTGAGCCATGAAAAGATAGAAAATGCTTGAAGCCCTAGGTTCCATCCTCAGCAAATCCAAAAGAGAAAACAAAAACAAAAACTCTCAAGTTCATATTACTTAGTTGGAGGCTGCCAATGCAAAACTACTACATACTGTGTGGTATTCATTACATAACCTTCTGGAAAAGGAAAAACTATGGAGATGTCAAAGACCAGTGGTAGCAAGCAGCTCAGCGGAAGGAGGAATGAACAGGAAGAGCATTTTTTGTGCCCATTCTGGGCTTGAACTCAGGGCCTTGAGTTCTCCCTCATTCATGGTTAGTGATCTCCCACATTGTCACTGTTTGTTTTTCTCCTGTGGGGCCGGGAGGAGGGATCCAGACCAAACTTGGTACCTGATGCTTTCCCTCCCTGGATGATATGTTA